TTCAACAACTTGACTCAAACTTGCTATAGGACAGCCAGTGTACCACCCGTTAGCCTTTAAGTCATCTGTCTCTATCCGACGTTTGTGTTGAACTCGCTGCTCACCGTGCCGCTCAGAGACTGGGTTGTGTTTTATAGAAGATGTATTTGTAAATGCAACGTTCGAATTGAATCAAATTGTTATTCGGAAAACAGTGGACATTTTAATACACCAAGTTTTTGTTAGCTCTTGATTCATGTGTGGTAGAAGTATTGAGGCGCGGCTCCTCGCGTCCTTGTTTGCTATTTCAAAAAGCAGTTCCAAATAAAACTTATATTATATAAAGAAATCAATAAGATATGAAATCAGTTGTTCCTCAAACCAAATATTCCGGTAATTTGATTCTCTCAGTTCTGGACAGGATCATACAGAACTCAACAGGCAAAGAATAAATGGCATTCTTACCGAGTCCACATCAATCGGAGTTGAGTTAATTTTGCCAGAGCAATTGCCACGTTCCTAAAATATTCGTCTTGAGTTAGGAAATGTCCAGAATTTGAATCAGGTAGTATCGACCTGCCTTTGATTGAGCGCAGCTTATTGCCCCTGTGGTGTGACATTTGGTGGAAGTGGCCTCTGTCAAGGGATTAAGTGATTTTTCTGAACACTTTCCACAAATACCGCGTGTCTCCACCACTTCTCACTACACGTCGGTCGGAGTGGTGGGCAATTACCCCGCGGGAGGTTGCGAGTCACATCTTTACGGTCGCATCGGCGTCGTTGACGGTCACAACGGTATCCTTGATGGTTAAATCGGCAACGCTGACTGTCACATCGCAACCACTGACGGTCACATCGACACCGTTGGCATCGTTGACTGTCACGTCGGCATCGTTGACGGTCACATCATCATCACTGATGGTCACATCGGTATCCTTGGCGGTTACATTGGCATCGTTGACAGACGCATCGGCATCTTTGACGGTCACATAAGCATCCTTGACGGTCACATAAGCACCGTTGAAGATCACATCAGCATCGTTGACGGTCACATAGATACTTGACCGGGATCGTTGACGGTTACTTTGACATAGCATCAACCATCTTCCCGAGGCTAGTTTCCACACTTTTATAGTCAGTTAACTCTCTTGCCTCGGGAAGATGAGCATCAACTTACAGACTGATAAGTGCATCTATGTTCGAGATATCAAATAGGGAGGTTATGTGAAGGGAGATTATTGCACTTATATAGCGACGTGCATGCAGGTGCGTGCTTGCGTGCGTATACTAGTCGGGACTAATGCTGATATTATAGTCTAGCCCAATGAGATACCATGCAGCAGTTTTAACTTGAATACCCCAATCAGACACAGTATACTGACTCCAAGCCGACCAGTGTTTGTTTTAGCCCCATCATGCCGAGCGCCAGGTAGGGTAACAAGTACTATCTTTTAACATCTTTTGGTATGACGCGGCCGGGGATCGAATCTCCAACCTTCCACTCCACAGGCAGACGCTCTGTAAGACCACGGCGGGGAGCTCAACTAGAGAATTTGGCAGGGGAGATAAAAACTGTTCAGTCTTTTTCAACATCCCAAATCATGAAATGGCACCAGTTCACCACGAGCCTGATCTGTCGAGCAAGTTTTATCCAGATATATCCAACGGTTTTGGAGTTCTGCTCCAGAAACGAGCAGTACCCTCATTTACAGTGGAGTCCAGCTTGTCATGAAAACATAAAAAAAGGCATGTCAATGGAAATACTTGAAGATATAAAAATCCCGCTTAGGGATAATTGCTTTCAATATTCGGCTGTTACGAAATGGACTGTTTAACATTAGCAGAAGTATCACAGAAGATGGGTTCAAGATGGGAACTCAAAAACTGACTTGCATAAACATATCCAGGGACCTTTTCTCCAGTTATCAGCAGAATCCTGATAAAGTTGGATGCCATTTATAACCCAGGAAAGTGACATGCTCCAGCTGGCCTATTATAGAACTGAAACTTACCAAAGATGTCTCAGTATTCAAGCAGGATACAACCACATTTCACACTTATCGTAATTGGATCTTGGCCTTAACATAAATGCCATCAACATCTGATGTGGAAGGATGTGTTACGAGACATGCAAATGTCTAAGAAAGTAACAATAATATCAAGGCGTCACAAAAGCTCTAACCTTGACCTTTCACTAATCATCACTTTTCAGGGATGTGCCCCTTCGTAGTTATTTCAGTCCTATAGACAACAGAGAGCAAAAGCAATGGCCCAAGCCACCCAAACCCCGATTTCTCGAAACAAACTTAAGTTAAAAAACTGACTTAAGTCTGGGGTTTTACTCAAATTTGAGAAAACGGAGCACAAAAAAAACATTTCTGAAACAAAACTGAGTTCAATATTGACTCAAACTGAGTTCGAATCCACGTAAAGCTAAAGTTAGCCTACATGTACGTGGACACAAATGGCGATTGCTACTACACGTAAGCGGAAATCGAGGCGGAGACATGTTATTTGTAGGGGGATACCGATCGTGAAAACCCACTGGAATACTGGGACGAAGATCTTTTCTTGAAATTTACATTTCGGGCGGAAACGATTCTGTACATTGTTACATTGTACAGTTGAGCTTTTGCTGAGTTTGACTCGAGAAATGCTATTGAGATTTTAGTATAAACGTAAGTTTGTTTTGTTATAGATTCTATGGCGGTATCTTTTATTGTTCAGAGAAGACTGCAGCTGCGTTGCGTTGTTTCTGTAGAGATTCGGTAGACGATCATTACATTGTGTTTTCGACTGTGACCAGTCGTCTGGAAGTTGCTATATTTAGATGCTAGTGTGCCAAGCTCCTTTCCCAGCCCGTGACACCTTCGTTACACTCTCGGAGATACCGAGAGTATAACGAGGATGTCACGCGCTGGGAAGGAGCTTTGCTAGTGTGGTGTGTAAACCGATTTGGTATACCGCGGACGGTGATAGTATGTAACCGAAATTTCTGTAATGTTCTATGTTATGAGGGCACTGTCTGGAACTTTCCAGAGGGTGGGGAGGTTGTATATAAGGGGACAATAGCGTGTTTACGTATCTCTCACACATTTCATCACATCAAGTCCAGCTTTCGTGTGTGGATCGCTCGTCGCTCCTGATTCTCTGCCTGTGCCCATCTCGGAAGCTTGTGCAGCAGGGTGAATATATACTGAACAGCATTGAAAACGCACCACCATGAAAATGGATGTATTTTTATCCGGGCTTAAGTCATATGAAAATATATAAGTGAATGAGTAATATACGACGTTCTGGACGAAGCATGAAGAAGAACAGCTCGTCAAAACACATTCCTAAATTGTGTGGGGCGGCATCAGTCATAACCATCGAACAGAGCTCCATGTTTGTCGTGGAAGAGTTAATGCCCTTTACTACAGGAATAACATATTTGCAAATCACGTCATCCCATTCTTTCATCAGCACCAGGATATGCACACCTTCCAGCAAGATAATGCAAGAGCGCATACAGCACGTGTTTCAACACAGTACCTAGCGAACAATAATGTGCCTCTGCTTCCATCGCCAGCCCTGTCACCCGATCTATCGCCAATTGAACATCTATGGGATTACCTGGGTCAACGCCTCTCACGTCCTCTGCAAGTACAGAACCTGAGATAACTTGAAGATACACTACGTCAAGAGTGGAATGCCCAAGAACACTATTCGCAGACTTATTCGATCAATGAGAAGACGTTGCATGGCCTGTGTTGCTGTCAATGGCGGACAAACCAGATTTTCATTTTAACCCTATGTGTCTTCCTTACACTGATGACGTAATTGTAATAAGTGTGGTATTCCTGTTTCCTTTGTCGTCTTTCTTAAAAATCTGTCTGTCTGTTCTAATCAAAATCGGTCATTGCTCAAGTTGTTTTTGTAATATTTCAAGATTTATTGCTGGTGCGTTTTCAATGCTGTTCAGTATATATTATTATCACTGACTTTTGCTATCCCCACTGTATTTGTTGTATACTGACCGCTGCTATCATATATATATACCACTCTATTGTGTACTGCCATTGCAATTGCAATGTTGGTTTGTAAACCTAGTTAATTTTGAAATACAATTGTAAATTGTATACCATTTGTCGGTTGTTTGTTGGATTCACCCTAGGTTCTTTACTTCAGAATTCTGGGTTAACATATTGTTTCAATTTGGGAATCGACACTTGGGAATTTGGGAATCTACATGTAACAGTTTCGAGACATCTGGCCAGATATACAACACCCAAACACCTACGTCATACCCTTGTAACTACGCACTCATCATTTTGTCACTGCTTATCACAAGCATGGGGTTCTGTATATTCTGAAAGGATCCCAGTTGGGTGATGGGGTTAAATGTGTGTAAGGTTGCGTTCATTATTACTTCACTTATACAGGAGGTGTATGTGAGTGTGTGGCTGCTTGTAATAATCTAGACTAAGTTCTAGCCCACTGAGATACCATGCCAAAGTCTAACATGGATACACCACTCAAACACAGTATACTGACTCCATGCCGTCCAGTTCTTGTTTTATCCAATCAACGTACAAGCCAGGCAGGGTAACAACAAGTAGGATCCAGTACCGTCTTCCAAACCTCTCCCGACCTTCCACACTCCGACGGACGAGTTATCCATTAGAGCATCAAGGCAGTCCCCAAATGGGAAGCATGGAGACTAAATCATAATGGAGAGATGTGTGCTGGAGAATTTTCAAACATTTCTGTAAGTAAGCAAAGCATTTTATTTAGTTAGGTTCCCATTTTTTTTACCCTTTTCTTTTCTTTTCATCTAGAACAATATCTTCTAGAATTCCAAATGACAGTTTAATGAGTACATCATAATCAAAAGCAAAAACAGCTTTAAAATATAGAAATAATAACTTCACAATTACATGCCAATGTGAGTTAAATGGTGTTGCCTTCATTTCACTCTGGTTTGTAGATACATCTACATCCAGGAAATCCAGGTCATAACATAATTACAGAAGAGGAAATGAGTGATGATGTTTATTAACATGGATGGCTTTGCCTTTTGATAAAGGCATAATATACACACAAGAAAATAAATTATGCTTTCAATTAACAAATACGTATACTTGGTTCATCAAGCCTAATTTCTTGTCTCATAGAACATTTAGAAAGAGTAGCCCTTGTATGTCTTAAACTTGGCACCTTTAGCCCCAAATACTGCTTGCTTAAAGTTAAAATACATTTGCAATTATTGAACAAGGAAATAAATGCACAATAAATTAAACCTGCCAACAAATATCTACTTATCCCTTGACATTTGTCTGAAGATGAAACATCTTCTTCATTTCCATGTCAACTGATCGCAATAAAATGAAGCAAGAACTCCAGGCTGTAAAATAAGGTGCTCCCAGAAAGACTGAGGTATTCGATGATACCAGTGTATAATGTGTTACATTCACTTCCAGTCAGTTTCCCTGGACTACAAACACTCTGCAACAACCATAGGCACTGCAGAATTTCAAACTATTATAGTTCAGAAACCATGGGCCCACTAGTACATAAGTCCACACAGAACATACTGTCCAGAGTAATGGACAAGACATCAAATTCTACTCTCTGCCAAGATTTTGCAGATGGCAACCTCCTTAAATCAGTACTGGTTGAAGAAACAAACAGTATCTCTGTATCTCTTGTTAAATAAAAAGAAAAAGAAGAAAGAAAAATGTTATCAGCATCGATTTTAATTGAATATTTATATGAACAATTAAAAAAAAAGATATTAAATAAACTATATGAATGTTCACACCTCCAGAAAACTGTTTGCTATTCAGGCCATTTTTAGGGACAGTGATCAGAGCTGTCTTTAGCCTAGTTTGCATAATCTGTTTAAAATATTTAGCCTCCATTCCAAATTCCACCCACCCCACAAAAACATTTTAATTTTAGTTCAAAACATAAATACAAATTTGATGAGGTGGGCCAATGTTGAGCCCACATGTATGTCCATCTGTGATCAGGTATGTATAGATCCCTGTTATCCCAAAATGTGGATCCCCCTTAGAACTAGCTGCTTCTGGATCTGATCAGGGTCCTGTACCACAGCGACCATAGCATTATGACTACCATAACCCTTTTTAAAGTATTGGAGCAACGATCACCTTAGCATCAAAATTGCTTTGTGGATCGGGGTCCTGCGGGCAGGGACCTTGCAATGTTTTATTCCCTATTTAAAGTATAATGAATTCAGTCTGGTTTCAAGGTCTCTTAGCACTGCAGCATCTATATGACATGTAGAAACCTATACTTATGTGTCATCTCCCCAGTAATAAATGATAAAACATCGTTTTGGATTTGTACTCCCAGATGTAATAGCTAAAATATATATCAAAATTTGTACTCTGATCTTAAATCTTTAGCATCCTCATAAGTTGTTGATAAGTACACTTGCCAATACTGACTAATGTTTTGTTAAAAATGGTATCATGCCTTGATATGTGTTGAATACAATTCAGATGGAAATATTCATAAGAACTGCAAACATTATAGATTATATTTATATGATAGGCCTTGGAAGCTTATAGCCTTCAATTATGACTTAATTTTGTGACAAGCAAATACCTTACAACATGAAGGCATTCTTACTTGCTAACTTTATAGGGAAAAACCAAGACTTTAAACAAAACTGTTTTTATCATATATAGAGGGCAGACAGATAATGGGAGTCTAACCAAGCCATAACAGCAGTAAATATTTCTTTTTCCTTTGAGCTACATCAGTGAGAGAAAAACAGAACTTGTTCACTATTGTGAAAAAAAACCCCATCACTTTCTGAACATTTGCATTTTTCCTGTCAGGGCTAACAAAGTTTTAAGATTATTTCCATTTTTCCCAGCAGGAATGATATATTTTTCTCAAGATTTTCCCCACTTAAATGCTTTGAATATTGATGTAAGACCTAGCATTTCAAGATATGCTTTGAACACTGGCACGTCCAAACATTTACTACATGTATCAAGATAACAGGTGTGATACTGGCATTAATATTATCCAACCAAGCATGCAACAGTACAAACCGTCTCCTTTCATGTTAAACTTCCTCTTTTTTTCTTAAACATTCTATACAAGTTAACAGCACATCCACACAGCCACAATGAGCCGGACATATTTCTTTACATGAACTCGCATTATTGATAGCACTTATAATGTCATCACAAATTCTTCTGTTACATCTTACATATGTGACAGTATTCATCAAAGGCTCATCAGCCCAAGTCAGTAACATTCCTTTCACATCTTGTCAGTCAGGGTGATTTTGGTCTTGTGAAGTCTTTTGTCAGTCTTGAAGCAATATCACAGCAAAGGACACAAGAATGGACTTCACATGATCCCCATATGGAATCAAACCCAAGCCTTCTGCATGACGAGGAAACACAGTACCACTGTGCAACCCTCTGCTTGCTGTACTTCTTCATATGCATAAATGTGTCTGGTTATATACGAACATGAAACATGCATTGACATGGAGGACTGTATTTCCATCTTATTCCCACAACCGTAAGACATGAGCAAGGTGTGTGTTGACTTGGGTTCATGAAATCTGGACAGTCTTTCTTCCTGCATATAAACCTAGTGGAACCTAGCCAGGCGTTCATCGTGGTAGAGAGCAGATATCACAGGCTGTATGTTCGGGCTTGTTGATGTATGTACAGTGATCACAAGTCCATGAACTAGCAGTGCTGCCGATTGGTGGCAGAGGGGCTGCACCAGGCCCAACATAAGAGGCCTGGCGGGACATCGGTGGGGACGGTGCTGAAACAGACAAACAGTCAGTCACTGCATGTCGGATACACACAGTCATATTTTACAAATAAGTCTTCTGTAATAAAAATGTATTAGTTTTGATAGTTTGCCCAAACATGATGTTATTTATCTCTCAGTCACGTGATGTTGATGTCATAATGCTGGATTCCTGAGATCAGGATAATCCCATTCTGAATGTTGTTTTATGCCACAATCAGAAATATTCCAGTTAGCAATGTGGCCTTTGAATAATTAAACATGGAAACCAGTGTTAGGTCAACAATCCAAACCATTGGGGCACAAAGACGCTAGGGTTGTGACGAGTCCAAATTTACTATCTGGGTACCCAGCCCCCCTATTACTCAACCTACCTGGGTACCCGCTGTATGTCTCAAGAGATGGGTACAAAATGTCCGATTGGGAAAAGCTTGACCGTACCCCTGGCAAAATGTACTTAGATACACATATGAAATGATCTGGTCATGCATACGCTGAAGTTGACTGAAGTTTTATCTTTATTCAAACATATGAAGACAGAAGGAATGTGTGCATAGTCAGAAAGGAATGCAAACATTTGTCACTTATAGTGTAACCATAGAGGTCCAGATAATTTTTGCCATTTAGCAATATATCACGTGACTAACCATGGGTCCGGGTAGTTCTGTGGGTACCCGTGTCCTACTCAGTACCCACCCGACCTGAGTACCCGAGTTACCCGTCCCAGCCCTAAAAGACACATAATTATTCAGTCACACATTGTAACCACCCAACTGTTACTTATTATTCAATCAAGGACCTCTTCTGCCCTGGAAACTCCATGGGGATACACGTTCCATGCTTCTTGGATCACATGAAGAAACACAAAATATAGACCTGGGTCTCAGATGTATCTGACACTGAGAACCATAAACATAACTGATAACTGAACCATTTAACTTGATAGGTAACATTGACAATAACATTTGGGCCTTATCTTACTTCAAGCCAATAAATCCTTGTAGGCGTACTGTATGTGCAATGTACATGATCATATAGGTCTGGCTGTTCATGATTACAGAACTGGAGCAATCGGTATACCACAAGCAGTTAGAGAACCGGCTTCACATATTCTACTGTTGAAATGATAACATGGAACACTTCTTGAGGTGTTGTGACAACGACACACAATTTGTGATATCTTTTCAGTCAGAAGGCATCATAATTCATTTTGATTCCTGAATTGAGTCTAAACATATACATACCATGTGCAGACATCATTTCTTCAACAGTTGCCCATTCCTCAATCCTCTTGAACTCTAAAGCCTTTTCTTCACTCCTTGTCTTAACTGCTTCGAGAAGCACACTCATCCTTTCCTGAGACATGCAGAGGCACAGCATATTATTTTTGAGGCATAACTTGATAGAATCAGAGAATTCACTTCTTTAAACATGTTAAAAACTACAGAAAATCATTCTTGGTCATACATATTATGTTTAGAGAGTAAGTTTAAAGCCACAGTCACATGTAGCTGCTTTCCGAGAACCTGCAGACTAAACAATGGTGTGAGTACCAATCAATACCTTCAGAGCGCAATGTCACATAATCAGAAGCGTCTTGCTGCTCATTATCCTGTTGCCAATACTATTTGTAGATGTTCAGCCTGTGTCGACATGAAATGTCCAAGAGCAAACACTTAGTATTCAAGGTATTTGAGGTGAGGTGATGGGGTTTAACCTCTCGTTCAAGAATACTGCACTTATATATATAGTGTGTTCAAGATTACTGCACCAGTCCCTGTTTTATCCCCTTTATGCCGAGCACACCAGTCAGGGTAGCAACAAGTACCGTCTTTTAACTTCTTTTGGTATGACGCAGCCGAGTATCGAACCCCTGACCTTCTGCTCCCCGGGCGGACACTCTACCACTAGACCACGGGACACCAGAAATGGGCTTCACGTATTGTACTCATGTGGGGAATCTATCCCTGGTCATAGGATGATGAGCAAACACTTTAACGACTAGACTACCCCACCGCCCTCAAGGTATTTGAACATACACTAGTACAATGCATATTCATATCAAAGACAGTTTTGACCTGTCATCCAAATCATCATGAGCTGTTCCTGATAGTACTACTGAAGTACAACTGATCCATCCGAACATTTGCAGATATGAATTATTTCATACAGGGATAATAGGTTAAAAAGTCAGGTGATCTCTTTCCGGGTTTCGGGGACAAGAGCGTAGTGTATGCTGCCTTTCCTGACATATACACATCACCAGGAAGTGTAGTTCCCCCTTACCTTGAGAGGCAGCAGATCGGATGTTGCCAAGAACAGCAGGAGGTGAAAGTCAGACATAGCATCCAGGAAGCGGTTAGGTGGAAACTGTTCCATGTACTTCACTAAGCTGGTGAAGTCCTGAAGACAAAGTAGCAAGTCACTACAGGTGGACACAGAAAGTGTTGACTCCACATACAAAAGTGAATAATCTGGCCCTGTCTTATAATCTATTAATCTATTGTTGTGAGTTGAGTACCACTGGTCATGTCATCATGTTCATGAATTTTCATTAAGATTAGCAGCCAATTCCTAGAAATATTTCTGAGGAAGCTAGAGATGAAAAACAAAATTAAACTCAAGTGTTAAATACAAAAGGCAGGCTGTGTTAAAAAAGAATTAATCTTGCCCTATGTACACAATGGCATTACTTAATTAAATTCTTACTTATAATGCTAGGATGATGGAAGATCTTGCAAACATCATAACAATGCACTGATCAGCATCTAAAAATGCATAACATTGTACACAATGTGACTGTCACAATCAGAATATGGAGGAATTTCAAAGGCGATCTCTACCTGACACTCCCCAATGTTGGCACGGTTTTCTACAGGGAAGGGTTTCAGGCCATTGTTTGTCTGGAAAGTGTATTGGGGCTCGACCGGGAAGGCTGCCGGGAGGTCTGCCAGGAGGTACTCCACTGGGAGGGGGCGAGCAAGCTGAGTTACTTCATTCCCATAGTTATCTTTGTTCTGTAAAACAAAAAACATTTATAACAGTCAATTAGTAATAACTAAGATAGCAATCATTCAAATTCAAGAGATACAGTCGTGCCTCGTTTATACGGACTTCAGATATCCGGAAACCTCGGTTCCCGGACGATTTTCATTCAAAACGAAATAATTACTATATAAATTTACCCGTATATCCGGAATTCAGTTTCCGGAACCGGACGGTCATTTTCATACACAAAACACTGAAATGCACACAAAATTGTCTCACTTATCCGGACAATACACTTCCGCTGGTGGTAATCCTTCCGCTGGGGGCAATCCTATGATTCGTGAGAAGTCAATTAACCAAGTGACACTGAGTTACGTTTGAGACGAGCTTGTTTATTCTACATGTAATCCCCTTTGATAAATATGGCGTCTGTGGAGGTCAGAGGTCAAAGTTGTGTAAGTATGGCCTGTCAACCAGCGAAACGTAAGCGACACGCAGTTACAGCACGCGAAAAAAGGGAAAAAAATGTCTGTTTAAAGAAAAACACCCTTTAGCAAGTTTAGAAACCATCAGTAAGCTTTATGGCACTGAATTTGGACATACCATAGGAAAATCGACAATTGGTGACATTTTAAAAGACAAGCAGAAGTGGCTAAATCTCCTGGAAAATGGATGTATCTGTTTGCTCTGTCATCTGTCATGAGCTGCATAATTGAAGGGAAGTAACTCTTCCAGTAAGAAGCTGGTTTCAGTTATACGGAAATTCGTTTATACGGACGAATTGTGAAATGACGCAAGTGTCCGTATAAACGAGGCACGACTGTAGTAAATAACCTTGAAAATCTATTAGCTCAAATAGTGATAACATGTCACCTCATCACAAACACGTTCTTCCACTTCTACAATTAAGGAGATCCATGGTGAGCATTAGCTACATGTAATTACAGCTATGGGGAAAACAAGTTGTCCTTTTGAGATTAGCCATGACCATGTGAAACAAGACAAATAGTGAACAGGACTCGCTAATACCCCCAACTTAGACATATTTTTAAGTTCAAAACATGACAAAGGAATAATTTCTCAGAAAATCCACTTATTGAAATCAAATTTTGCACTGCACCTCTCCTATTGGTATAGGAACTGTTTCCCCAATATGAAATGAATCCATGAAGTAGTTTTTAAGTTATAGGTTGCACAAAAGTTCCAGTAAAAAAATTCTAAGTAAAAGCATGAAAAATAACTGTAATTTTAAAAAAATCCTAATGTTGAAATCAAACTTCTCACTGCACCTCTCCTATAGGTATAAAAAGTGTAAACCAATTTGAAAATAATCATTGAAGTGGTTTGCAAGTTACAGGTCACATAGAAAAAGGTCCTTGGAAGGAAGGACAGAATTTCTTGATATAACTATATACCCCTTCCCTTTTCGGTCGGGGGTATAACAAACTAATCTCAATCATTAATGCAGAGCAAGGTACAAATACAAGAATACAACAACTAAAATGTTGAAACATTACTTTATAAAAGACATCAGGGACATATTGCTCATTCGTTGACTCTTTGACATAGCCCAACTCAGGGACATCTTTTGTGGGAATAAGGCAGTCATCTCTCACTAATGCCATGCACTGATTGGAAACCTGGTAGCCGTCGAAGTGGATCTGGTTGTTGTTGTCACCTGAAAAAAACATGATACATACTTCATCATGGCATTCTACAACAGTGTCATGACATCACCATGGCAATCTGCAAAAAGTCATGACATCACTGTGGCAATTTAAAAAGTGCCATGACATCACCATGGCAATCTACAAAGTGCCATGAGAACCCCATGGTAATCTACAAAGTGTCATTACCTCACCATGGCAATCTACAAATGTGTTGTAACATCACCATGGTAATCTACAACAGTGTCATGACATCACCATGGCAATCTACAAGGTACAATGATATCACCTATTCACCATGACAATCTCACCATGACAATCTATAGTGTCATCACATCACCATGGCAATCTACTAATTCTACAACTTCAGCCACTAGTCTGAAGCATGAGTCCAGTAAAATTCTGTTTTACCTAGAATGCTCAGTTAACAATAGTCTATACAATAACAAGTTACAATTTATAAATAATACATGTAATGCCATGCAATAATTTCTGACCAGCAGACTCCTTAGAATGTGTGTTAGCAATCTGCAAAGTATCATGGCATCATGCTAGGAAACTGCTGATTCTAAGCTGTTCAATAACTAACAAGTAGGCATTAAACATTGACGCCATCATTTTGAACTAGTTTACTGTACAATACATAGCTATTGATCAAGTGTTTGTGTCTGCGAGTGATGGAGCACTCAAGAGACAACTAGGCCTGTTTGTGTTGGTTACAAAGCCAGATAACTGGGGCTTACCTGTGACTACTACAGTGACAAACTTCGACCCAAAGTGTCCATTAGAGGAAAGTTTACATGGGTTTGGAAACTTATTTTGAAAGTCTGCTGCCATAATGCATTCCTCTGAGCTCAGAAAGTGGGCATCCTTGGGGGAAACAGAAAATATATCATTATCTTCATGATCCTTGGTAAGAAAGTCAAAGGTTATAATCACAATAATTGGCAGTAAACAGGCACAATTAAGAAATAAAAGATAGCTGTGCGATAAACTGCAAAGGACAATGAAGAATGAAGCGTGGTTTATTTAACGACAAAACATTGTTCTATCATGCAGTCATTCCTGGAGATTTGAACATACGCTCGCAAATGGATGACGTTGTAAATTGGGCATTATTTTTTTGAGGGAGGTGTCTGTCAGTTGTTGCCCATAGATGAAGCTGGGCAACGTACATAAATGCAATTCCCAATCACATTCAAAAGTGGGAGAGATATGACAATAGGTATTGGGAGAAAAGGTACAGATAATCAACAAGAAAATTGTGAGAATATCTTTGAAATACCAGTAGTAATCCCCCTGTTCATAAACTGGACTTGTCTGAAATTGCCAATAAAACACTGCAGGGGGAATAAACTATTGTACCCCTCATGGTTCAGTCTCCATGCAGCGTTTTACTGTACGATAAACAACGAAATAAACAAGTAAATGTTATTAGGATATCATTTGTACATGTTATAACAGAAATAAATTTAATGAAAATATTGACATGTCATGTCACAGAGTTAGGTAACAGGTACACTTTTTAGAAATAACCTTACCATGTTTCCTCTGAAGTTTTTAACTGTGCCCTTGGTGAGATCTTCAGCTACAAGATCAGAGAATATCCATCCCACTGGCATCACTCCCAGCTTTTCTGCAACCTCATTTACAACAGCTTCATTCTCATCAGGCAGTAGCTCAATCTTGTTCTTGGAACTTTGCTGAAATAGTTTGCAATAGGTACAATGATAAATATTTACCTCAGTTTCATGCAGATTAAGAGCTTAATATTCTATTATTTTCTGTAGGTATGACCTTAGGAGTGAGTGAGTGAGTTGGTTTTATTGCCGCTTTTAACAGTATTCCAGTTATATCACGGCGTTATGACCTTAGGAACCCCTTGAGGACGAATCTGATTGTGTGGCACACTACCCTGACAATTTGGGAATCCCGTGGAAACCCAGCTGATCATATGGCACACTACCCTGCCAGTTTGGGAATCCCATGGAAACCCAGCTGATCGTGTGGCACACTACCCTGACAGTTTGGGAATCCCATGGAAACCAAGCTGAACGTGTGGCACACTACCCTGACAGTTTGGGAATCCCATGGAAACCACGCTGATCGTGTGGCACACTACCCTGACAGTTTGGGAATCCTCTTAAAACCCAGCTGATCGTGTGGCACACTACCCTGACAGTTTGGGAATCCCATGGGCACCAAGCTGATTGTGTGGCACACTACCCTGACAGTTTGGGAATCCTGTGTAAACCCAGCTGATCGTGTGGCACACTACCCTGACAGTTTGGGAATCCCATGGAAACCAAGCTGATCGTGTGGCACACTACCCTGACAGTTTGGGAATCCCATGGAAACCCAGCTGATCGTGTGGCACCCTTCTCTGACAGTTTGGGAATCCTGTGGAAACCAAACTGATCATGTGGCACACTACCCTGACAGTTTGGGAATCCCATGGAAACCCAGCTGATCGTGTGGCACACTACCCTGACAGTTTGGGAATCCCAAGGGAACCAAGCTGATCGTGTTGCACACTACCCTGACAGTTTGGGAATCCCATGGAAACCCAGCTGATTGTGTGGCACACTACCCTGACAGTTTGGGAATCCCATGGAAACCCAGCTGAACGTGTGGCACCCTTCTCTGACAGTTTGGGAATCCTGTGGAAACCAAACTGATCATGTGGCACACTACCCTGACAGTTTGGGAATCCCATGGAAACCCAGCTGATCGTGTGGCACACTACCCTGACAGTTTGGGAATTCCAAGGGAACCAAGCTGATCGTGTTGCACACTACCCCGACAGTTTGGGAATCCCATGGAAACCCAGCTGATTGTGTGGCACACTACCCTGACAGTTTGGGAATCCCATGGAAACCCAGCTGATCGTGTGGCACACTACCCTGACAGTTTGGGAATCCAATGGAAACCCAGCTGATCATATGGCACACTACCCTGCCAGTTTGGGAATCCTGTGGAAACCAAACTGATCATGTGGCACACTACCCTGACAGTTTGGGAATCTCGTGGAAACCCAGCTGATTGTGTGGCACACTACCCTGACAGTTTGAGAATACCATGGAAACCACGCTGATCGTGTGGCACACTACCCTGACAGTTTGGGAATCCCATGGAAACCAAGCTGATCGTGTGGCACACTACCCTGACAGTTTGGGAATCCTCTGAAAACCCAGCTGATCGTGTGGCACACTACCCTGACAGTTTGGGAATCCCGTGGAAACCCAGCTGATTGTGTGGCACACTACCCTGACAGTTTGGGAATCCTGTGGAAACCAAGCTGTTTGTGTGGCACACTACTCTGACAGTTTGGGAATCCTGTGTAAACCAAGCTGAACGTGTGGCACACTACCCTGACAGTTTGGGAATCCTGTGGAAACCCAGCTGGTTGTGTGGCACACTACTCTGACAGTTTGGGAATCCTGTGTAAACCAAGCTGGTTGTGTGGCACACTACCCTGACAGTTTTGGAATCCTGTGTAAACCAAGCTGGTTGTGTGGCACACTACCCTGACAGTTTTGGAATCCTGTGTAAACCAAGCTGGTTGTGTGGCACACTACCCTGACAGTTTGGGAATCCTGTGGAAACCCAGCTGGTTGTGTGGCACACTACCCTGACAGTTTGGGAATCCCGTGGAAACCCAGCTGATCGTGTGGCACACTACCCTGACAGTTTGGGAATCCCGTGGAAACCAAGCTGATCGTGTGGCTTACTACTCTGACAGAATAGGAACTGCTAGTTGTAAGATTACCATAAGTCGGCAAGTCCTAGACTAGTCTAACAAGAGTCATTAGAAGATGACAAATCACCCTGACCCCACAAATATGAAAGAACAAATCATCTGACAGTTACTTTAAGTCCAACTTGATGAGAGAATTTCCATCTTATCTGTCCATATACAAGAGTAGTTATTGAGCTATCAAAACAATCCTATGGGATTAGGATTCGGAATTTTGTATATCTGTGTCGGGTACTATGAACAGGGTCAAAAGCAAATTTGTTGCCATGGAAACAGAAAAAAATATAAATTCTAAAAATCCCTTAATAGCTAAAGGGCATCAGTTGACAACCTGGACTTTGTGTGTGCACAATTTCAAGCAAGAATACCTATTAGTTTTGGAGATATGGTCCTCATAAACACACCAAAATGAACAGAGTGGAAAAAATATAAATGCTAAACATCCCTAAGTAGCAAGTTACTTTAAGTCCAACTTTGATGAGAGAATTTCTATCTGATCTGTCTGTCCATATACAAGAGTAGTTATTGAGCTCTCAAAACAATAACATGGAACTGGGATAAAAATTAATGATGGGTAAATGACATTTCACTATGGACTGCCACTTTTACAATGAGGTAGGTGACAATGCTACAGCCGATACATCTAGCCCAGTGAAAACAAAAATACATTTCTAATCCTGTAATCAGTATTCGTAAAAATTAGCTCTTGCAACAAGGATGGGGCACTGGGAACACATTCTGTCTCAGGATGCACACAGGGTTCCATTAGGATACAAATACACTTACTTGTGGGGGTTCATATATAGCCGCAACTGTTGCCTTGATGCCCAGTGGGACATCCTTGTGAGGTTCGTATCTGCCGTACAGGATGCCTAGTCTCTGGTTACCCGTGCTCCTCCAGTAGTTGAGGAAGCGGTCAGCAACAACAGGGTTCTCAAACATGATATTGTCAATATGACGATATATCTGTAATACAGGACAAAAGAAACAATGATGAGATGATTTGGGCATACTGGTAGACACAATAGACTCGTGGAAACAACTGGTACTGATGTACTGCATGTCACTATTTATTTGCGATTGAACCTAAAGGCATGGACTGAAAACACATATATGATGTATATTTACCTGTCTGTTAAGGGTAACAGCATTTGGCTGGCACTTTGTACATATCCCTCCTGGCCATGGGGGATGTTCCTTGCAACCTGATTTTATCTTACAACTTAAGTTTTCCAAATTAACAAACTTTCCCCTGAAACAGAACAAGAAAGATATAGAATAATATTATTCCAGATATTGCCAGGGAAAATATACAATTGAGTTCCAGAAACTCATTACTTATTTTTTTGTAAAAACAGGGACATTTTCAACTTTTAAACAAATTTGAACTTTGAATTTCGGAGCCAGACTGTGCTCAACAGAAGATAAACAAACAATGAAATAATGTCTGTGTGATTCAAAGATTACACATGTGGTGTCTCCTTGGGCAAGTGACTGTTCGAAATGTGCTCCTGTTCACCCAGCAGTAAAAATGGCTACCCGGTGGAAATGTGACTGTTAACCTTCTAGCACCTGACAAGGCAGTTTGGGTTGTATACTTCCCAGGGAGATGAGAATGAAAATCGAGTGCAAACTGATCGAAATGACGGGGTAATAATGTGAGCGCTTGGAGCATGCACTGAGTGTATGGAGGCTAGCACAATATAAGTACCCTACATTATTATAGTTCAACAACAATACCAGCAAACATCCTTACATTCTGTATTGTCGCCTGTGCTAATGACAGTCAGTTAGTCAGTGAGTACAGGTTTATGCAGATTTTAGCAATATTCCAGCTGTAACGCCTGATCAAAGAAGGGGGCACCAGAAACAGGATTTACTCATTGTACCCATGTTGGGAATCAAACCAGCGCATTTGGCATGACAAGCGAACCCTTTCACCGCTCAGCAACCCAACAGTCCACTACTAACAGTGAACATATTAACACTAAAATGTACTTAAAATTATGGCAAATTACAAGATAGAGTTGGTGAACAAATGTTGACAACATTCCAAACCCCAACACATACATGATCATGATGATGACTTACCGGTCGGCACCTCCAGTCAGCTTCCTGATGTAAGAGTGGAAAGACAAAAACTTGATAGGTGGTTCACAGCTCTTTAGAAATTCTTCATCATAAGGCTGGAAGGAAAAGAGTCAAAATGTGACGATTAATTGACGATTGATGAAACTCTCGAAGCAACTCTTTTCAAACATACATATCCAGTCTGCACCTTTACAAGTAGCCTGAAATGCCATTCTTGTAAATATTGTGTGGCTAACCAATTATAATAGGTTAAGTCATACCAATAACATGTATACATGTTCTATACTTCCTATGTTTGCATACACTGTGTTTCTCCATCACCAATGAGTACATACAGGTGTAGTCACTATATTTAACCAACATAGCAAAGGCCTGCTTCCAGCAAGGGGGAAGCCAACGAATGCTCAGTTTGCATCACACAAACAGCATTTTTTTTCTAAGGACAACATGTGCCATAGCCTTGTGGCTGCCTGCTCTACACATTGTTTTAATGTCAGACAATGGTAAGTATTGTTTTGTTTGTATGAAGTAGCATAGGGAATAGGGGTTCTGGCTCACTGCCACCAAGGCCAGATTCATACTCCAATAATGCTACTCAGAGTTTAACGCCTAACTCAGCAATATTCCAGCTATATGATGACAGAATCTGGGCCATACATCAGTGATTGTCATCAAGGGCATCGATCTACACAGTTGGGATAAATGACAACTCAGTTGTGATGCATTAACATGTCAGTTAGTCAGGCCGTTAGTCGCCTCCTCCAACAAGCATGGCTTGCTGAAGACCAATTTTAACCCTGATTTTCACAGGTCAGCAATGGTAAGGTTTACACAAACACTGAAGAGTCATAAACAGCATCATTTCATTAGGATACTAAAAACAGGCTGCATCACTATTACATCGCATAGCAGGTGAATACCTGCCATCATGCCCTGATGACGTTACAGGATTAATCTCAGTGACTGGATTGTCAATACCAGACTGGATTATTCACTGGCCACAGTCATATATAGCTGGAATACTGCTGAGTTTGGCATTCAACAACAAACAAACAAACAAATCTGGGGAGTTTTCTTTGGAATGTCTACATACACACAAAGGAGAACTCTTTATCCATGATATAAAACAGCCTGTTTGGTTAACTAGGCTTCAACATGTTCAATGTAATTGAACTCCCATTGAAATAACAGTCACCACAATTCACTTACTTCAAGAGGGACACAGTGAAGACACTTCCCTTTAGGACCATGATGACATCTACAAGAGAACATACCATTTCATGTACAGTATACAATGACATCATGCTACATTTTGACCAAAAAATACCATGTACATGATGTACTCGTCTTTAACAATTTCCACTAGTCTCAGGCTAGCTGACTAGCATGACTAGTGGCTGTATAAAATCCTGAAGAAAAGTTAAGTAATTACGGCATCTAATGACATACACTACAGTCTGACCAGCTGATCACCATTGTGTAAATTAATACTCAAATTACTGCTGTTCATTTCTCTCATAAATAATTTGCAAGCTTCATAACCACAGGATATTACAAAGAATCAACCAACAAGAAAATACATCCATTTGGCATACACCATAAATCATAGATATTCTGCCCGAACCCTGGCAGGTAGGTCAGTCAAAGTGCAAAGACTGACTTCACAAAGTATAGAAATAGACACAATATCATTCTTACAGCTGTTCATTTCTATTCCTGTATATTTTGCCATCTTCTTTACTTAGGATGACATCAACCTCATCCTCACGGACAGAATTGGAGGAGGGTGGTCTCGCAGTGTCCATCGGCTCGGCCTGGTCTCCTGATGATAGTGACTTCTCATCCGACAACAAGTACAGCATGTCACCATGTCTGAAAGATTCATATTGTTTACATCAACAATTCAGATATCAGTTAAACAAATAAACAAATAGTGCTAGTCTATGTTCTGAGTAATACAAGTTTTATGGATGAAGCTTTTTCTTGGCAACATTTTGGTATGATTCTCAATGTTTTAATCTTATTTCACATTTGATACATAAAATGCCTCCAAATCTTCTCTCACCAGTAACTGTATTTACTCGCAGAGGTCATAGCAGTTGTGTTTTTAACATGTTTAAAGTCATTTTTGTGACTAAAAGAAATATCAACAGGAAAAGGCAAGACAACAAGATTTGAATTAGAAAAGCATTTGTTTCTGTCTTCTATCGATCCTATGTGGAAACGTTCTTGGACAAAGTTTCTACCTTCTAAAAAACAATTAACCCAAACACACCCAGCATCCCCATGGTCACCACCAAGACCTACACATGTGCCAAGCAACCTACATGCACTGAACACATGAACACCTAGCTACCTCAATTCTCTTTCTAGACCTAACAGGCTAGAGGAACTGTCCAACGATGGTTAGATGGGCATATAGCGTGTGAGAAAAGATAAGTCCAGTAGAACACGGATATAACAAACACAGACAGAGCGAACAAACGGATACAGTGAATGAGTGAGTTTGGTTAAACGGTGCTTCTAACACTATTCCAGTTATACCGCGGCGTGTCAGCTTAATGTGGGAGGAAAGCCCAAATTGATGCAGGTCTCAAACGTTTACCACTTCAGTGATACCCACAAGCACAGGTATGGTGCTGACAAACCTGGAAACATAATCAGGGAGATCCAGGATTCGAACCCACAATCATAGGTTTCTGGCTGGCCCAAGGGATGCAAGTCTGCAAAGCGAATTGCAGCGCCTTAGACAACTGGGCCACCCGCGCCCCCACAAACGGATACAACGAACTGTATCCGAGCGAAAACATATATTACAAACAACGTATATAACAAACTGATTGCTCTGGTCCCTTGTAGTTGGTTATATCCATGTTCAGCTGTTCATAAATATACAAATTACCGTAAAATTTACAATATTTTTACATTTAGTCTATCTCACACTATGCATTTATCCCACGGTTGGATGGTTGGGGGCAGATACCCTGCCTGTAAGAGACTACAAACGTTAGACATACACCTGGAAGCTGGTGCTACACAGTGAAATAAACAAATTATGAATAACACTGCCTAGAGTTGTAAGACAAGGACTCAAGCAGAAAAACACAATAAAAAAGTGATATGAACCTGACGAAACAAACGAAACGCATGGAATATTTTCAATAATGCCATCATTATATATAAATGACTAGGTAGCTATATAGGACAAGCAATACAGCATACGAGTTGCAATCAATTCGGAAGGACTCCAGCTAATCAATTCAACTGTCACTTGCAAATGAGTGTCCTGCTGAACATCTTGAGCTATCTCTTGAATGTGATCCACAAAGTGAGTGAGTGAGTGAGTTTGGTTTTACGCCGCTTTTAGCAATATTCCAGCAATATCACGGCGGGGGACACCAGAAATGGGCTTCACACATTGTACCCATGTCGGGATTCGAACCCGGGTCTTCGGCGTGACAAGCGAACGCTTTAACCACTAGACTACCCGACCGCCCCGTGATCCACAAAGAATGAATTAGTGGACCAGGGAAACTGGTATAAACAAGTCTTAAATGGATCGTCCCATGAACAATGCTGGAGCACTGCACAGCATTATAACGCAGTGACCGGTCCCCCACGATAAGTGAGGTCCATGATCTTGTCCTGGATCAACACTAGTGCTCCAAGACTCTTCAGCAGGAGTAGCATGAACCATCAACAATAGAAGAGCCTCCGTTAGCAAGAGGATAGTCGAAAACCAAGGTAAAGTCCAGTGAATGGTAGTATCTAATTGTGTCAAATCCCGATTGTTGAAGTCAATGTACGCTTGGGACACAAGGTCGCCAAGTAACCATCTAAGTCAGGTGCACTATAGACTTGGACAAGTCATGCGAGCCAGCATCTTGAAACAAACCGAGGGGACTGCAAGATATCCTACAATACGGATCTGGAGAAGAAGCCTGATGTTCGGAGACGTAGCAAAGGGAATGGCTGATGTATTGCATGGAAGTTGGAGCTTGTCTGCAATCAGTTTGAGAACCATAACTGGATCGGCAGTCTCAAGGTTTCCTGAAGAAGAAGTGGGGGAAGTATGACAATCTACTGCAACTTCAACTGGTACGGGATCCACGAGACAGCTGGGCTAGTCCAGTAGGAGCAGAGTGTATCTAAGCCAAAATGGGAGTCACGGGACCTGCTGTGTAGTATAGACTGGAAATGCTGTGCCGGAATAGTAGGCAATCGTTAGGATCCCATGAAGGTGGAAGCAGCTGTGTGGATGAAGGGAGTGCCAAAGGAGGATACCGTACAGACGAGGTGGAAGGGACCCGAACTGGAAGTGGAGAGGGAGATCAAGAACAAAAAGGCATGGCTATCGGCGACAGACATCTACGGGAACTAGGACGGTGAGGGTAATCCCAGCGACAATGAACAGAAGATAGACACTTGCAATAATGTCCAGCATGGGAGCGGTAATATGGATAAGGTGACTCATAAAGAGTACCCACGCCAAGGAGGAAATGACTCTATATGCAAGAGAAGCGTTCCCAATCACGTGGGAGGTTTTTGTAATCACTGTATGGAAGAGGATTACAAACAGCACCAGGGGAAGCCTTGGTTATCATTGCAGATGGAAGGACGCGACCCAAAGGGGGGGGGGGTCAGCAGTATCAGCAATATTATGCAGGAGAAGAAGACGACAAACAACCAATTGCAGAACTCATGGGAGCGGGAAAGGAAACGACCGAATGTGAAGGCAGGGTAGGATCGGAAACCAAGATTTCTTTTTCTTGGACCTGGTGCATATCTGTAACAACTTGTGGAACCGATGTTGATCCTGAATCCTCTGGAATGGACTGCTTGTCAAGGATGGCCGGGATGACATTCTGCAGAAAATTATCTGACACACAATCGTTTTCGACGGAGGGCGCAGGTAGGGTTCAATACAATAGAGGAGACAGGCTTTTGACTGACTTTTTGGATTTCTTGGCCCGGAGGAGCCTTTAGGATTACTCTCCTAATCCTTCGACTGTCCATTTCTCAACGCCAACATATAGGAAGGAAGATACTGAAGGATTCATCAAAGTGAAAAGGACGCTTGGGTTTGTTTGGGTGAATTGTTTTTATAAGCGAGAAACTTTGTTCAAACACGTTTCCACATAGGACTGTTTTCATATCATACCCCATATCATTCGGAGACACCTTATGGAATTTAGGGTGGATATGTGGTTGGATATTAAAACATATAATAATTCTAATTATCGGTGATAATATGACAGCATGAGATAACAGGAATTCAAATTGTATTTGGTTCAAGTCTATGATAATTGCTGCAAACCAGCCCCAACCCAGCTGTAGCCATGGGCATGTGACATTTTACCACGTAAATATTGACCAAGTTGACTCATCTTCTAACTTGATCTGTCATGTGTGTTTACATACAGCATGTACACAATTTCACAATGGTTAAGATTAATGAATATTTATCACCATCCCACAGGTCCCATAGCAATAAAACTGCAAGTCATTCATGTGATTTCCATATAAGTGGCTACCAAATTTGTCTGTTAACCAATCGAAAAAGGTCAAAATCTAGTTACTAATATTATCATCAGCATACCCAAAACAGTAAATAAGCAGCACAACAGAACTTGCACTGAAAAGGCTCTACAGTACATATCTCTGCCTAGCCAAAATTAATCCTAAAATGGCAGAATTAGAAGACAGATGTTGAAGATACAGATATGTGTCCTCTTTATCTCACCAAATGGTCCTGTTTCAAATAATGTTGTAACTATAATATGTAGTATGAGTAGTCAAATTCAGTGATTCATATTCACTCACTTTATCTTGTATGAATCAACAGTTTTCGCTCGTGAATTGCGAACAATGCCAGTTTTGTTTCTATTCTGAAAAACATTCCATCCTGTATCCCCAAGCTGAAATTCCTTCTGGATCTGAAAGAAGACAGTAAATGCTTGAATGATAAAAGCATGGTCAGATATCAATTCCATCACATTGACAGCAGTATATATACACATACAAATAGTTCAAACCTCAAATTTGAAGACATAGCAATAAACTGTTTGCTTACAAATGAAACCAATGAATAACAATACATCAAGGAAAATAGATATATCTTGTTAAAACTAATATACTGAACAAAAAAGTTAGGGATCATGAATATTTTTGGGGATATTTTCTTGCGATTAAGACTGAGCACACTATTTCATAAATACATCCCCAAACATATTCAGCATCTGTTATTTTCACCCATTTTTGCCATCACAAACAATACCTCATCAAGGGAAGTGTTGGGTGGTGTTTGATCAAGCAACATCACCATTAACAATGCTCCATATTATTTGAGTGAGTGAGTGAGTGAGTGAGTGAGTGAGTGAGTGAGTGAGTGAGTGAGTGAGTGAGTGAGTGAGTGAGTGAGTGAGTGAGTGAGTGAGTGAGTGAGTGAGTGAGTGAGTGGTTTAGCAATATCATGGCAGGGACAGCAGAAATAGGCTTCACACATTGTACCCATGTGTGGCTACCCCACTGCCCTGTCCATTAGGATTACAAGTTTGTCCTTGACCCACTGCAGAAATATGTTTTCCTTCAATTCTCTGTGTTTGTCCCCTTTTGTAATAACCTTTGCTCTAAATGTTAGAGCAAATGACTATGACATCCAGCGTACACGTGAGTATGTCTCTCACCCCTATCTAGAGCCAACTTCTGCCCTGACTCCAAAATACCCAGATTAGGTATCCACTGATATCTAACTGTATTAAGCATTCTATTAAGGAATAATGGCTGAAATCCATCCTTCCTTTGTACCTGTAGCCACATGTATGCAATGGGATGCTTCAAGTTAATGTCTGCTTTCCACATATTGCTGTAAGATTCTCAGTGACATCCCAATATATCAGACTCAGAATAAAGCTTTCTAAATGCTTGTCTGACCTTGTCTTTTTTCAAAGTTGTCATGTTCATCAATCCTATTGTATTTTGAGAAGTTCCCTACCTTTGTAACCTCCTCATTGCAACACCTTTGTTTTACCAGCTGTTTCCACATATTTGTAGGTAGCCAAAGCCCTTCAAATCTGACATGCATCCAATTATTTTAAATGTGATCAATGTGAATTGCATTGTCTGACTTACAGTTCCCACTTACAGTGTTGGTCATCTTTTCTGTAATATTTTTTAACAAGCTGTGGACTCTGATCTTTGATTGGGTATACATAATAAGGTTCCCTCGCACATCATGCTACACAAGCAAGTTCAGGACACAGCAATTCTTCAAACCATGTCTACAGATCTACTGTCTTACTCCCTTCTGTGGAAAGTGACATATATCCGGAAAAAAATTCTTTTATAATATTTTGAGTGATTATTGTTGAAACAACAAAGTACAAAGTTCATTAACATCTACAATATTAGCTATTACCAGACATACAAGATATTTCTATTTTCTTAGCTTTATTGCAGTTCATCAATGTCATTTGTAGCCAAATTGAGTGTACGTAATTTCAATATGATCATGGTAAAACAGAAGATGCTATTGATAATGGCTATACCATGTTGAATTAACAGATATATTAGAAGCTTTACAAAGTTTTAATACAATATTTCAAACAGCACCAATACCTTATCAAGTAGGATTGCGACAGATTCTGATCCCTTTGTATCTACTCGTTTGGTGCCATGCTGGGCAGACTGCACACGCACAATCTGAAAAGAGGAAATATACTTAATGTACATGAAGAATGTGATGTCAATTACACTGATGGTCCCACTCTAAATGAAACTGAGGGTCCAACTCACAGGTTTGAGCTCTGTTAATAGCAATGATGATATTGTAATGTGGGTGATTCCTAAATCAGGTTTGGAGCCTTATCATTATCCCCCACCATTGGACACATTAGAATTTTGTTTCATCATATGGTAGTTAATATAAACTACAAAAAAAAGTCCTATAAAGCCTTAAAAAGAGACAGCCACTAAGGTCGCTTTAAGTCATGAGAAAAATTGATTAAATGTGAAATTAATACAAACTTTCATTCATGTAATATCAGTACTTGCTGAGAAAACATGTCCACAATTTCACATAGTATTTACTAAGTATAAAAGCATGGAGCAAGGGCCATAACTGTAAAAAATAAATGTACACCAATTTTTGTACTCGTTTGACATCGTGAATTTAATTTTTCTAACTTGAATAGCATTTGAGAAAATTTGTCCACATTGAGAAGCGGATTGATCGATGCTGATTATCAAGGGGGGGGGGGGAAATTCTATTTTATCTATTGCTATTTTATAGAATGATACGTGTGGAATATGTGCTTTACATCACTTCTTGTTATGAATTATACATAATCATTATGCATAAGACCTGGATAGTGTCAATGGACATCGTCCAGATGGGTTCTTTTCTAACCAATTTTGAATGGAGGTAGTGGTAATGCCACTTCAAAAACATTCCACAAACTATTATCAAAAAGTTAACAATAGCCGTGACATTCCGCAACAAGTCCTGTATTTGATCAAGTGATGAAACATTGTGCTTTGATTTGCATAAGTAAACAGTCGACAGGGTTTGTGGATTACAAGATTTTCCGATATGGCGATAATATTGAGTCTGCAATAATATAGTCAGACTAGGCCTATACAAATAAATTTTTTTAACCCTCAACTTTTCTTCAATATCCTGAAACAAAGAAATGATTACAGTGGATGAAATCAATCTACATAAGGGGGCATTCCAAGTGTGGTATTACCTTCCATTGTGTCTTCATTGAAACAAATTCATGATACACAACGGTAGAGCGGAGAAAATGTATCGTATATTCGTGATACTCGACAGCTGATCTCACTGGGCAACTTGGTCAGGAAAAAAATACTTGTCTGAAGGTTTGCGAGAAACGAAACCTTGAAATATCAACGGAATATCATGTCATTGAAATGATGTACGTGGCAGTCTTGTATGAATGCCAAATCACGTTTTCATCAATGTGTATAAAATTAGCAGCTGACGACGTGAAAAGGAAACCTGAAAATGACTCGTCATATCCAAACATTTTGCCAAGTTTTGTGTATTCAACATCTCTACGGTTTCTGTTAGGAACAATCAACTCACAGATCGGTTACTACACACTGACCAATTTTTCCCATACTTACCATTGATTTCGACATGACGATACGTATATTTTGCCAGCTTGTGAAGCGTTCTAAGTGTGATACTGCAGCAATCACAAAGCGGCCATGACAGGTGCTCTCGTGTCTACAATTTACCACGAGATTTAGATTTTATAGTTAGAAATTATTATTTCTATTTAGATATAATTTCTTTTAAAAAGCTTTCCGATATGATCAGTAGTAACATAAAATATACATAAGTTTAGCCAAAATCGAAAGTCTGTTGACAGGCAGCAACATGTGTAAACAACATGGCGACCAAAATAGATCTTGGGCATGATATGCCGGAAGCTAAAGGTGGAGAACACTGACAATTCTTCTATATGGCAGCTAACTTTGCCAAATATATGCTTCCATAAAGGCTTGCAATATGAATTTTTAAACTGACATGAAAAGGATACACATGTAAACAATGCATTTGACTCCTGTAGTGTCCGAAAGTGAATATTGTTTCATATTTATTAGGCCTAAGCTTCAACCAGGAGGCAACCAAACCACCACTTTCATATTATTTTAAAATATTGTTTAAATTTATTTGTTTTGTCATATGTATTTTGGATTTGTATTTTACATATTCTTAGTAAAGGAAAAGGTAGAGAATTTAGAAGTGATGCACATAAGGGGTGCAGGCGAAAGCGGCACCTCAACTATACGTCACCGATTTACTCTAGCGGAAACACCACCTCATATTTTAATAATGATAAGAACGATTTCTATAGTAGGAAATGTAAATATTCATTGGTGATATGCTTTTATTCCTAATTTCTATTGTAATTATCATTTTCATTGATCATCCACAAATATCATTGTCATCTGTCAATGTCTCATATATTGTCACATTCCACAGTATTACAACACACACTGGTCCATGAATACGAAAAACCTTTTTTTATATATTAATTTTTTTTACTTGAACTATTTTTATTGTAAAACCTATATGTTTCTTTTGCAAATACTTTGAAATGAAATAGTTGCCTCTCACAACCCTCTTATCCTTCCTTAGTACTTCTGCTTCATCTGTCTGGTTTCTTCTGTGTCTTCAGATTGTAAACTGATGTGAAAGTTCATGTAATCGTTCACCTCTTCTGTAACGGGGCCTACGCATTTTGCACAATGGAAGGAGAATTCTTCTTCGCTCTAGCAAATCTCACCATGCCAGTCCATAGACAGACGTACCAGTGCCACAAAATGACATTGAAATAAATTGAATAAGGGTACTTAGGACTTCAAAGCATGTGATGTTTTCACAATAAATTTAGTTGTGCCTCCCAATCTGAGTCGGCATGGCGAGTAAATTGGAGCAGATTGGCTAATTGCAAATCTAAACATGTTTTGTGGCGGTCGGGTAGCCTAGTGGTTAAAGCGTTCGCTCGTCACGCCGAAGACCCGGGTTGGATTCCCGACATGGGTACAATGTGTGAAGCCCATTTCACAAAATGACATTGAAATAAATTGAATAAGGGTACTTAGGACTTCAAAGCATGTGATGTTTTCACAATAAATTTAGTTGTGCCTCCCAATCTGAGTCGGCATGGCGAGTAAATTGGAGCAGATTGGCTAATTGCAAATCTAAACATGTTTTGGGGCGGTCGGGTAGCCTAGTGGTTAAAGCGTTCGCTCGTCACGCCGAAGACCCGGGTTGGATTCCCGACATGGGTACAATGTGTGAAGCCCATTTCACAAAATGACATTGAAATAAATTGAATAAGGGTACTTAGGACTTCAAAGCATGTGATGTTTTCACAATAAATTTAGTTCCCGACATGGGTACAATGTGTGAAGCCCATTTCACAAAATGACATTGAAATAAATTGAATAAGGGTACTTAGGACTTCAAAGCATGTGATGTTTTCACAATAAATTTAGCCTAGTGGTTAAAGCGTTCGCTCGTCACGCCGAGGACCCGGGTTGGATTCCCGACATGGGTACAATGTGTGAAGCCCATTTCAGGTGTCCCCCGCCGTGATATTGCTGGAATATTGCTAAAAAAACCAAGGTGAAAAAAAGAAAGGTTCCATATTTGTTGGCAAGAGTAGACATTTTTGCTGAAGACAAGGTTCCGTTTTGCTCGGTGATGTCTTGCTGAGTTTCTGATAGCTTTTACCCCACATGAGAGAGAAAATATTTATGGATGTCAACTTCTTTATTATGAGGAACACAATGTTCTTCATAATAAAGAAGTTGACATCCATATATTCTCGCTTTTGTCTGCATATAATCAATTTTTAAACTTATCCTATCTCACACTATGCATTTCTTCTTTCTTCTTTGATCCTATGTGGAAACGTTGCTTGAACAGAGTTTCAAGCCTCTAAATAACAATTCACCCGAAGATATCCCAGTATCACCATGGTTACCACCCAAACAAATGTAATCCTGTGCATCGCGACCTACATGACCTAATCACGTGATTATCCCGCCATATCATTCTCTTTGTTATTTCCACATAGGGGAGAGGTGTACTGTCAGTGTTAGAGAATATATATATATATAGATATATATTTTTTGACTGATTTCCCTACTACATCATGATGATTTACATATAACATCTGGGAATATGAGCAAGAAAGATCCTCTTCGCCCGGCCTGTCTGGAGTGCAGGCATAATTTTTCTACATCAGACCCTCACGATTTATGCTGTGAATGCCAGGGCTGGTGTAGTTTTGACAAGAGATGTTCTTTATGTAATCATCTTTACAGACGAATCATTCAGCGTATATGTTCACAAGTGGATCGCCGTTCAAAGCCCAAGGCAAGAACTCAAATGACGTCGTTAAGCACAAGTCATCAAGTACCAAAAAGTTGAGGTTTATCAAGCCAACTGACCCTTCCACTGTTACAGTGACTATATCGCTCTCAGGATCGGCGCTCAGAGGATTGACTGGCTCAGGATCGTGGATCACACAAGAAGTGTTCCAAATCTTCACGTTCCACTCCTGTTCATCTGGACTCTGAGGATGACTACTATTTGGATTCGGTTGAGCGCTCTTCAACTTTGGGTCGCTCCCTGTCTCTGGTTATGTGGATCACCATCATCATCAGATCACTCCTGCTCTTATGATTATCGGCATCAATGACAGAAATTTCAAGCTTCAGATTCCTCTTGGGATTCCTTGGACCACCAACGTGGATGGGAGACCTACCCACTCTGCTTTGGCTCGTATCCTCACTGGTTGGAATATCCTATTGCCTAGTCCCATCCTGACTTCCGCTCCGGCACTAGATATTACCACTCTGAATCCACCTTTCGGTAGCCTTCAGCATGAAGAGCCTTGTCATTCCTCTCCCTCTCATCGATGTTCATCACCGACAGCCACGCACAAAGATCACCATTTCTCCGAGTCACTCCCGATCTGCTTCTCCACTTCTGGTTCGGGTTCCTTCCAGCCCCTTGTTTCCGGCCCCACTAGTGATGCTCCCAAACTCATGGCACCATAAAGACCAGGCTAACAAGCTGGCACCGAACATTAAATCGTTTCAACAAGTGGTCACCACTGCCCTCCAGCATTGTTGCAGGCTACCAGCAGCTCCTGGTCTGGATAGCTTGACTTCCTCTCCAACTCCCATACAGCGCACTTCTCCTGGCACAGCTGTTCCGGTTCCTCTGGTTGTGGATCATGTGCCGGCTGACAAAGATATGGATCATCAACCGTCTCCTGCATCGTCGACAGGGCTTTTGCGTTTTTCTGTCGTTTCCGTCGCTTGCAGTCCCTGAAGAGGATTCCGGCACCCATGGCACGTAGAAGTTTGTTTCAGTTCCAGAACTTGATGCGATCTCTTGACTCTTAGCCCTAAGCATTCGTTGACTGTATTGACTGTGGAGGATCACCTGGCTTATATCTCCTCTCTACTGTTAGGTGGTTACTCTGATCACATGCAATCCTCACAAAACTCGAGCCATCGCCTCTACCATGGCCTTTCACAGCAATTGCACCCAGTCCGCCATTATGAAAGGGTGCTTTTGGAAGTCAGATACGGTCACCACTATTTCTATGACATCTTTGTTACAGGCGTCCAGGGCCATCATCAATTCGATCTCATGGTCTTGGCACAGCAGCTGTCGACTGCACATCAGTGCAGATAACCGATGCCTGTACCTTGCACCTGCTCTTTTGTATAACACTTCGTGTATATACAGGATAAATCTTGGAACTAGAGCTCCTGTGTTGATTGTTTTTTATTATTCGAGCTCCCAGACTGAGTACCCATGTGGAGCGTGGATTCTCTCATCTGTAGAGACAAAGCTTCTCTAGCCTGTTAGCTCTGACGTGATTACAGTACGTGACCCATTTGTATGGGTGGTGACCATGGTGGTGCTGGGATGTGTTCAGGTGAATTGTTTTTTAGAGGCTGGAAACTGTTCAAGCATGCTTCCACATAGGACCGAAGAAGAAAGAAGAAATACATAGTGTGAGATAAGTATATAAATATACAATTTATTATAAAATTTTCAAATTTCTTCAAGATCTACATTGTGTTTTATATTTTCTTTTATGACCCATGGTATGTTTAGTTTACTGCTAAACATGACCACCTCAGTGTGGTTTGCGTTCCACAGATAACAGGTCGCTGGTTGATTTGTGTTCATTTTAAAGGAGCTAGATTACTATGAATGCATTTTCCTTTGATAAGATGTCCTTTAAGATGTCCTTTTAGAGTCCTCAACATTGTCATTAGTAAATCATAATCACAAAACACAATTGTTTTTCCAGTTGATCATTTGCCACCATCAGGCCCAAAGTATAACAATGAATATCAAAAGGAATTTCATTACCGAGGGAAGCTATTCTGTTCAACAGCTAATCGACTCAGAAATCTGTGTCAACAACCAAGAAGGGATGCTTTCACTGAATCCTTTATGAGGGATGAAGACATAATATCAGATGAACTATCCAGTAGATCGGTTTATAGACCACAAACCTCCTCAAAACCTAGCAGGCCTCGTAGGATACAGAGCGCCAAGGGCAGACTAGAGAAGCGACAAGACTGTGAAGAGACAGATTCACCATGTTTAGAAAAGTCTGGAAGTCAAGTATCGGTAGTCGACATGAACCTAAATGTACACATTCCAAAAAAAACTAAACCAAAGCGTCCACAAAGTGCTTCGTTTGTAAGTCCCCCCAAAAGTGACAGATCTGGACCATCTTCAACATGTTCCAGTAGACCTTGTTCTGCTAAATCAGCCCTTGGTCAACAGGTCTCAGGAGAAACTGTCGACAATGATGGAGTCAAGCCTTCAGTGTTTGGGTTGAAGTTTAAGAGACAGGTGTTTGGTAGTGACCCAGGTATTTTCTCCAGTACTGAAGATCTGACGAGCAAAGGTTTTCCATACGTACTGTCCGGTGACAGTGGCAAGACGAACAAGGATCCTGATAAAAACATCAGGTGTGTTAGATATTTGAATGAATGATTTTGAAACAAATTACTGCGATTCTTATTTTACATTTACAGTTTGGTAATTCACTGTGAATAAAGGGCAGAGGAAAAAGGGAACATTGCTTCTTGGATTTATTATGACATTTCAAACAGTTTGGGGTTGGAGGAGGGCTGGAGGTGGTCGCACATATGGGTGAATGTTTTTGTTCTCAAAGGTGGAACAGAATTAGAATAGAATTTTGAAGACAGATTTTTTCTTCTTGCTTAGTGTGTTAACTAATTTTGAAAAATGATAGTAATTTCAAGTGATAAATGAATAGAATTTCAATGTTATTGAATACAGTTGTGAAGTAAACCTCTAACTTTAACATGTTTTCTTTGTTTCATAAACCCAACAATGATTTTCTGACATAACTTTAAAAACATGTTTTCAAATTCTTCATTTTAAACACTGATCCTACAGTTATTGAAAAAGATCCATAAATATAGTAATTGTAACAAAGACGCTTGACCATGATGTTTTTGCAGTTCTTGTGGAAGAAAATGTAACATTAAATTCCTGTGCTAGGTCCATGCCTGCGTGTTTAGAGCCACTGAGGCCCTGGCTGAATACAAATATATCGAAAGATGTGATTGGTGTGGACCCAGCAACTTGTCTGGTATTTCTTGCGGGCTGTTTTGACGATCTCCCAGAAGTACCACCACCCCAGGGTGCTGAGGATGTACTGGCTTGTCATGGTCAACTCCCACTGGAAAACCCTGCGGTGAGTTCCTTAACGTTATACACATGAACATACTGGTACACTCTGAAACACTACGTAACATCAAGGATTGTGAGATTTTCATCTGATTCTTATTTTTGAAGTGAGGGAGGAGATTTTTGTTTTAGAGATTACTCAGATAGCCGGTTATGGTTTGATTGTAATTCCAAACCAGTTAAATTGTGCAAACCAGTTTTTGTATTCTTTGTTTAAAAATATTAATAATCAGTTGCATTATGTTTATGAAACTATCAATATTAACATTGTCACCATGTGATGTATTCACAGTTAGGAAGTTAGGAAAACACACTGAATCTACAGTTTGCATCAGTGTCTCAAAGGCAAAATGTACTGGTGCTATATTACCGTTAATAGCCTTGCTGTCAAACATGGCAGAACATAACCCAGTCTTGAATATAAATAAACAGATTGTAACACCAAATTCATTTCATTATTCACCATCTTGGTCATAAAAATTAAAGTTGATCAGATATGAAGAGTTTCAGTAGGATGTAATTGGCTCCAGATTCATCAAAACGTTCTGTCCTTCTGTTTATTATTAATTTAAATCAAATAAGGTCAATAACTTATTGTTTTTTAGGCAATATTGCCAAGGTGGAGCCAAAAACAAAAACAAAAATATTTTGGTTTTGAGGATTATTTAATAATAATTAAATTTTCGTTGTGTTCATTGAAATTCATGTATTCTGATAAGCTGATTCATACAGTTTGCACATTGGTTTTTCAGTTCATACCTCAATGAACCGAAAAAAATACACAGTCAATCCTTAATAAAGTTTTCAAAGAAAAGGATGTTTAACGGGGCATATTTTCAAACGGCATTTTACAGTTACTAATTTTACTTAAATTGCAGCATTTAGAGAAGACTTCTCAGTGTGTCCAGAATAAACAGTTACTGGGTATTATATTTTGTCATTGTGTATTTCAGCCGCATAAGAAATACAGTCATCCTTTTGTGAGTATATTATTAACTTGTCATGTATTCCACCTGATCAACATGCTAAAGGTTGGAGCCATCTTGAGTTTTAAATAGATACCTATGTTAATGCAGTTAATCACACCAAAGCATGAACTTTCTGCTTATTTGACATTTGACTTGTTCAACATGTTTATTGAATAATTATGTGCTTTGTTGAAAGACTTAGTTGTTCCGTGTTATGAATTAGAGGGTGTAGATTCTGACCAGCAACTTGTGAGTTTCAGGGACACAATATGGTTAATTTTGACATAAAGTTCATGATGTTTTACCTGTCTACCCACGATATCGCTAGGCTTGCCTCACTTGATCAGTGTTTTATTCCAGTACAACAGGAAACTGCCTGCAGAGTGGGAGTGTAATCACAGATGTCGACTGCTCACGAAGATCTGTACTGAAGATGGCACTGTTCTACATGTGTAAGAATTGCTTTTCTAGTTTTAGAAGAGTCAGTGTTTTCCAGTTTTGGTCAACAAGTTGTTTTTAGCGCAGTGTGTGAAACTAAAACATTATCTCTGTATTATTAATATTTAGGGTAATCAGTAACTTCTTGGATCTACATTATAAAAATTGTGTTGGCAGACAAAGTTGGTTTTATAATGACTTGAATCCATCTTTGTAGGATGGCCGCTTGACCCAATCTTACTCGGTCTCTAAGACAACAATACAGAAATCTTACACCTGATGTTGTAAACATTGTCACACTAAAAACAAGAGGCTGCTCATCCATGCAATTTTGGGATGCTTTGGCCATTAATTTCTTTATGTTTTTGTTGGATCACAAATTGATGTGCCCAAATCAGAAGTTGAAGAAGGCAAAAACAATCACATCAGCATCAACCTATGGTACCTGTTATCTATAAGTATGCGAAATAGCTTTTCTCTGCAGACTAACAGACGAAGGAAGCAAAGGGACTTGGGCAGGGATGAGTCCAAATTTACTACCCGGGTACCCACCCCCCTATTACCCACCCCCCTATTACCTGACTCTATCCGGGTACCCACTGTAGGTCTCAAGAGATAGGTACAAAATGTCTGATTGGGAATTTTTTTACCTTAGCCCTGGCAAAACGTATTTAGATACATGTATTAAACAATCTGGCCATGCATACACTGAAGTTATATCTTTATTCATCCATATGAAAAATCAGAAGGAATGGGTGCATCATCAGAAAGAAATGTGAACATTAGTCTCTTGTAGTGTAACCATAGAGTTCTGGATAATTTTTGCCATTAAGCAATATATCACATGTGATAACCATGGGTCCGGGTAGTCCTGTGGGTACCCGGGTCCTACTCAGGACTCCCCCGACGCGGGTACCCAAGTAACCCGTCTCAGCCCTCCAAGGGACAGAGCTCAGTTGGTTGATTTGAAAAAATAGGAATGTCAAGTCTTGCATACTATTAGTGATGTTAATAGGGTTTTTACGTGTGTTTAGTCACAAATGTTTGGATTACTTTTCCGCTGAAAAAATATATGTTCACTTTGATGTTAATTTGTTTCCATACTTGATGAAAATAGGGTTGGTTGGCTGTAGTCAGGGTAAAATGATACATCGGTGTACCAGTGCATCGTAAATATGCGTAAATGTATCATATCGTGACCCATGTATCATGGTAAGTATCGTATCGTGACCTTGTTGGCTGATCCATGATGCGACAAATGAATAAATAATGGCCTTACTAACTGTTATATTTTTATTTTATGATATATACATGATATATATATGACATGTTACTTATGTTTTTCTACAGGAGGTACGAAGGCAGCAGAACAGCTGATGTTGTCAGAAAGGAAGTTCAAGAACTGGAAAATCTCCTGCTTGGTAAACTATCTTTAATTGTAGAGCCGTTCACATTTGTCAGAATTCCCTCTTCCTGAGGCAAGGGAGTGAACTGACTGTAAAAGTCCAGTTTCCATCCTTGCCGATCTAGGCAGGAATTTGGGGGCTCGATTGTAGTGCTATCAATGGCTAGTATGAGTTAGTCCTTCCTATTGACCAATCAGATTCCACCTCACATATATCTTGCTTTTGCTTCAAATATAATGGCATCGCCCAGTGAAGACTGATCGATAATCAAGATCTATTTTGCTATAAATCTTCGTGAAGTGCACCAAATCATGTGGGCTCCTTGATTAAAAACATGAAAAGATTTGGAAAATATCTGTTGATGCAAAGTTATCGGTACACATGCTTTGCAAATCTGCAAATTGCACAGCAGTTTACGAACCAGACGTCGATTTTGTTACGTGATTTGATTGGACTATGCATAGACTCGTTAGTCTAGCCAAACAGTCAAACAACAAAGTGTGTAACAAAGTGTCTGTGTGTGTAACAGTGTCTGTGTGTTAAAAGGTGTTTGTGTGTCACAGTATCTGTGTGTGTAACAAAGTGTCCATGTATGTAACAGTGTCTGTGTGTGTAAAAAAATGTCTGTGTGTGTAACAGTGTCTGTGTGTGTAAAAAAGTATGTGTATGTAACACTGTCTCTGTGTGTAGCCAAGTGTCTGTGTGTGTAACAAAGTGTCTGTGTGTATAACAGTATCTGTGTGTGTAACGTGTCTGTGTTACAAAGTGTCAGTGTGTGTAACAGTGTATGTAAAAAAGTTTTTGTGTGTGTACCAAAGTGCCTGTGTGTGTAACATTGTCTGTGTGTAACAAATTGTCTCTGTGTGTAACACAGTGTCTGTGTTACAAAGTGTCTGCATGTTACAAAGTGTCTGTGAGTTACAAAATGTCTGTGTGTAGCAGTGTCTCTGTGTGTAACAAAGTGTCTGTGTGTCACAGTGTCTGTGTGTGTTACAAAATGTCTGTGTGTGTAACAGTGTCTGTGTGTAACAAATTGTCTCTGTGTGTAACAAATTGTCTGTATGTTACAAAGTATCTGTGTGTTACAAAGTGTCTGTATGTAACAAAGTGTTTGTGTAACAGTGTCTGTGTGAGTTACAAAGTGTCTGTCTGTGTAACAGTGTCTGTGTGTGTAACAACGTGTCTGTGTTACAATGTGCCTGTGTGTGTAACAGTGTCTGTGTGTAACAAAATGTCTATGTGTGTAACAGTGTCTGTGTGTAACAAAGTGTGTGTGTGTCAAAAAGTGTCTGTTTGTGTAACAAAGTGTCTATGTGTGTAACAAAGTGTCTGTGTGTAACAAAATGTTTATGTCTGCAGGAATTGGCAGCTATGACAGTGAGTGCATGATGGTGCAGTACCAGGCCGACATCACCCGACTGAGAGAAATGGTGGACACCACTCTTTCAAAGGTCCCAGATAGGTAAGTCATGACCTTTGCAAACTCACAATTACCACATAACATGACTGGGAAGTTTAACACAATTACTAGTACAGTGTACCCTCTCTTTACAGTGTATATTTGAACTCTTATCAAATAGGAATATATATGTTCACTTCGTTAGTTTGCCAAAGAGTTGCATCCCTTAGTCGTGAAAGGATCCTATAAAGCAGATTCACTCTGTCGTATCATTATGTCATTGGTTTGTCAGGACCATACCTATGCCCATTGGTTTCATCAAAGTGGTAAATGTTTAAGACCTGTGTCCCTTCCTTCCTTTCCTGACACTTTACATGTTTTTTTTAAAATTCATAACTTGTTTTTGTTGTTATATGGCTGAAATTTGCTGATGCGACATTATTTTTAACTCACTTCTCCCATGTCAAGCTGACATGCCATGATACAAATATAATACTGTTCAAATCAGCGTTTAGCCCAACTCCCTGAGAACTCATGATGCTTGCTGTCATTTGTGGTCAAGTAACTGATTCAGGCATATCATGCACTGTACTAAAATTTTGTTTCTGAGTTTTCCCAAAAAATGTTTTTATTTCAAATGCTCTTTAATCCAGAATATTATTCATGCATTCTATTCCAGTTTGCAGTAACACTACTAGGGGTGACTATTGGTCTGGAAATCACTACTGCGATAACTATTGATATTGAAAGAAACTATTGTGATAACTATTGATATTGAAAGAAACTATTGTGATAACTATTGATATTGAAAGAAACTATTGTGATAACTATTGATATTGAAAGAAACTATTGTGATAACTATTGATATTGAAAGAAACTATTGTGATAACTATTGATATTGCAAGCAATTGTTGCAATAAATATCAATAGTTTTCAGTGTATCATTTTAAATGGATTTTAGAGTTGAATTAAACCTTGAAACTGAAGTTTCCTTTGAATGTGATAACCATAACAACAAATATAAAGTTAAGTTTGAGATTTGTTTGATTTGACTGATTTGTTTTTTCTTTACCCTAATAACTTAAGAAAAAGAAACTTCCTCATTCCCATGTGTAAATTACTGCCACTCATGATCAAAAGAAAAACAAATTTGAACAGCATTGCATGTATTTTATTGATATGGTAAATACAATCAAAACTATCGATATTCCTAACTGTAATCGATACTATTGATTGGAAACTGATTTAACAATCGATATATTGACTTTAAGTGCTTGCCAATAGCAATATATCAATATTACGATTTAATGTGACACCCCTAAACACTACTAGTATAAGCTGGGGTCCTACTTGATAAACAGTGTGGAGAATTACCCCAGCAGACGGAAATGTGAATGCAGCAGAACCATCTTGCACCTAAATGTCTGCTTAGCTTGTATATTCCCCAGGGAGCTGAGAATACTAATATAAATATATATATATATCTCATCAGTTGTCAGGGTAATAAGTGTACATAATACGATCATGCGTTGTGCAGATCTAGCACGAGACAAATGTACATCATATTACTATCATCATCATCATCATTGATGATATGAAACAGTGGCTTTGGCCGTTGTCATGACAATCACTTCATATTTCTGTCATATGATGTGAGTTTGGGGGACATCACACCTATGACACCACAATTTATTCATGGTTTAATTATTCTATAGCAATTTTGAAAAGATGTAATTCAATTAGCGATATTTCTTCCAGTGATAGAATGTGGTCTCTCCTGCGGCAAGTATAATATTCCCTGAACATTACTGCTTTAAGATTAGAGCCATTGACTGTTACATTTGCTTACATTCCCTGAACCAACGTGAACACCTGTGCAAAATCATGACTACAGCTGGGCCCAGTCACACCGCAAAGACCCACACCTGTATTTTAACCAAGATTGATTTGTGAGGGTGGGAACAGTTTGCCAGAATGGCTTTGTTTATGGTAGTTGTATGGTTGGTGGTAGATGGATGATTGATGGTACATGGATGGTTGATAGTACATAGATTGTACATGGATGGTTGATGGTACATGGATGGTTGATGGTACATGGATGGTTGATGGTACATGGATGGTTGATGGTACGTGGATGGTTGATGGTACGTGGATAATTGATGGTACATGTTTTGTTGATGGTACATGGATGGTTGATGATATGTGGATAGTTATGGTACATGGATGGTTGATGGTACATGGATGGTTGATGGTACATGGATGGTTGATGGTACATGGATAATTGATGGTACATGTTTTGTTGATGGTACATGGATGATTGATGGTTGATGGTACATGGATGATTGATGGTACATGGATGGTTGATGACACATGGATGGTTGATGGTATGTGGATGGTTGATGGTACATGGATGATTGATGGTACATGGATGGTTGATGGTACATGGATGGTTGATGATTGATGGTTGATGGTACATGGATGGTTGATGGTACATGGATGGTTGATGACACAAGGATGGTTGATGACACATGGATGGTTGATGGTATGTGGATGGTTGATGGTACATGGATGATTGATGGTACATGGATGGTTGATGGTACATGGATAATTGATGGTATGTGGATGGTTGATGGTACATGGATGGTTGATGGTATGTGGATGGTCGATGGTATGTGGATGGTTAATTAAATGTGGATGGTTGATGGTACGTGAATGGTTTATGGTACATGGGTGGTTGATGGTACATGGATGGTTGATGGTACATGGATGGTTGATGGTACATGGATAATTGATGGTACATGTTTTGTTGATGGTACATGGATGGTTGATGGTACATGGATGGTTGATGATTGATGGTTGATGGTACATGGATGGTTGATGGTTGATGGTACATGGATGGTTGATGGTACATGGATGGTTGATGGTACATGGATGGTTGATGGTACGTGGATGGTTGATGGTACGTGGATAATTGATGGTACATGTTTTGTTGATGGTACATGGATGGTTGATGATATGTGGATAGTTATGGTACATGGATGGTTGATGGTACATGGATGGTTGATGGTACATGGATGGTTGATGGTATGTGGATGGTTGATGGTACATGGATGATTGATGGTACAAGGATGGTTGACGGTACATGGATGGTTGATGGTATGTGGATGGTTGATGGTACGTGGATGGTTGATGGTATGTGGATGGTCGATGGCATGTGGATGGTTGATTGAATGTGGATGGTTGATGGTACGTGGATGGTTTATGGTACATGGGTGGTTGATGGTACATGGATGGTTGATTGTACATGGATGGTTGATGGTACGTGGGTGGTTGATGGTACGTGGATGGTTGATGGTACTTGGATGGTTGATGGTACATGGATGGTTGATGGTACATAGATGATTGATGGTACATGGGTGGTTGATGGTACATGGATGGTTGATGGTACGTGGATGGTTGATGGTACATGGATGGTTGATGGTACATGGATGATTGATGGTACATTGGTGGTTGATGGTACATGGATGGTTGATGGTACATGGATGGTTGATGGTACATGGATGGTTGATGGTACATGGATGGTTGATGGTACATGGATAATTGATGGTACATGTTTTGTTGATGGTACATGGGTGGTTGATGGTACATGGATGATTGATGGTACATGTTTTGTTGATGGTACATGGATGGTTGATGGAACATGGATAATTGATGGTACATGTTTAGTTGATGGTACATGGATGGTTGATGGTACATGGATGGTTGATGGTACATGTTTTGTTGATGGTACATGTTTTGTTGATGGTACATGTTTTGTTGATGGTACATGGATGGTTGATGATATGTGGATGGATATGGTACATGGATGGTTGATGGTACATGGATGGTTGATGGTACATGGATAATTGATGGTACATGTTTTGTTGATGGTACATGGATGGTTGATGGTACATGGATGGTTGATGATTGATGGTTGATGGTACATGGATGGTTGATGACACATGGATGGTTGATGACACATGGATGGTTGATGGTATGTGGATGGTTGATGGTACATGGATGATTGATGGTACGTGGATGGTTGATTGTACATGGATGGTTGATGGTATGTGGATGGTTGATGGTACATGGATGGTTGATGGTATGTGGATGGTCGATGGTATGTGGATGGTTGATGGTACATGGATGGTTGATGGTACGTGAATGGTTTATGGTACATGGGTGGTTGATGGTACATGGATGGTTGATGGTACATGGATGGTTGATGGTACATGGATAATTGATGGTACATGTTTTGTTGATGGTACATGGATGGTTGATGGTACATGGATGGTTGATGATTGATGGTTGATGGTACATGGATGGTTGATGGTACATGGATGGTTGATGACACATGGATGGTTGATGGTACATGGATAATTGATGGTACATGTTTTGTTGAAGGTACATGGATGGTTGATGGTACATGGATGGTTGATGGTACATGGATGGTTGATGATTGATGGTTGATGGTACATGGATGGTTGATGACACATGGATGGTTGATGGTATGTGGATGGTTGATGGTATATGGATGATTGATGGTACATGGATGGTTGATGGTACATGGATGGTCGATGGTACATGTTTTGTTGAAGGTACATGGATGGTTGATGGTATGTGGATGGTCGATGGTAGGTGGATGGTTGATTAAATGTGGATGGTTGATGGTACGTGAATGGTTTATGGTACATGGGTGGTTGATGGTACATGGATGGTTGATTGTACGTGGATGGTTGATGGTACATGGATGGTTGATGGTACATTGATGGTTGATGGATGGTATATCAATATTATATGAATGTATAGACACCAGGAATCAATCTCTCCTATCCTGGATGGTTCCATGTGTGTACGTATCAAGAGATATGTTTCTCAATGCTCAATAGCAAAATAGAGGTCAACAATTTACACTGATTGCTGCTTGAAGGTGCAATATCAAGTTATTTTTAGTTTGGTTGTTGTTGTATATGTGAAAACTAATCCTCAAATCTTTATTTCCACACTGTGGGAAGATGTAGGATACTTACAAAAGAATCAAAATACTGGTATGCGAAAACACAAGCTTTACAAAACAAATGCAAGTCTGATATTGCACCTTGAATGTATACTATTTGATTTGCTTACTTACTCATTTGTCCTAAATTAGATTTAGATCCCAGTACCGATGGGGTATGTTATCCAGATGATACTTTTCTTGAAGATATAAACATTACCATTAGCGTGTAGATATTTTAGTGATAGATTTTTAGTTAGGCCTATCCAATAATATTATATAGATGTGTTATTTTTGTTATAGAGATTTATTTGAATTACTGATATTGCCAATAAAAAAGGTCACTAGAAGTGTGTCATCACCCGAGGGGACGTTTTGACAGAAATTCTGTATGAATTGTCAGTTCAAAAAGATTTTCATACCATTGTTCATTTGATCACAAGATCTAATCCTTATCATGATTCCATGTTAGAATAGGTCCCAGCAACCCATGCGGGTCAAAAGAGGTGACTTAATGCATCGGCTAACTTAGTTGATGGTGTATCATTGTACCCCAACTGCCTGTATCATTGCTCATAATTTCAATTCCTGGACTGTCTGGTTCAAACTTGATTATTCACAGGCTGCTGTCATATAGCTGGAATATTGCTGAGTGCAGAGTTGTGTCCCCTGTAGGTGGTGAGTGGGGAGAACCGAATGTTGCTTTAACTGCTGGTTTGTCTTGTCCAGACCTATAGGCCATTGTGAAAGTGCTGACATACAAAAAGCATAGTCTCTCACTCAGCAGATGAGATACAGAAGAGCTGTTTAGACTCTAAAAGTTCCACTTGTTGTAATGATGTATTTTGTCTTGCAGGATCAAGAATCCACCGGAACCACCCGACACGGTGAGTTTACACCTAGAAATTCATGTAACAGAACACCATCCTGGGCAAGGGAGTTAACTGACTATAAAAGTCAAGTTTCTACCCTTGCCGAACTAGGCTGGAATTCAAGAGTGACATTTTGGCTGGACTAACAGGTCTATGAATAGTTCAATTAAAATCGCGTAACTAACTTGGACATCCATTTCGTAAACAACATGGATTTCGGTCGACTGCAGGATTTGCAAAGCATATGTGCCATCAACTGGGCGTCGTCAGATATTTTCCAAATTCTTTGATGCACTTCGCGAGGTAAGACCCATTTAATTACAATATAGATTGCGCCGCCATTTCTTTGAAGCAAATGCAGGTGATATGAGTGCCGGAATCTGCTTGGTCAATAGGAGGAATATAACTCATACTAGCCACTGGTGGCACTACGATCGAGCCATGAAATTCCAGCCTAGTTCCGGCAAGGGTGGAAACTGGACTTGTGTAGTCATTTAACACCCTTGCCTCAGGAGGATGCAGCAGAACACTTACAGGGCTATGCATTCTTCAATTAATTAAATCTATGGGTGGGGAGACAGTTTTAAGTTACAGTGGAATCTCAGCAGGTAAGAGAAAAATGAAACAAAGGTACAATAAGACATTATGATATGCATATTTATGGTTGCCCTGCCTTTCTGGTTCCATACAGCCTGAAGTTAGAAAGGATATTCTGTGGTCACATGTTGCTTCAGCTCCACACAAGGGGCAGAATCTACCTGACGTTGTTCATATTGTCCGGATCTGTTATGTTTTTCAATAAGCATCTTGGTTTGTTCCAGTTTGGGTTACGGAAGTTTTGTAAGGAGCATGACAAGATTGTACAGCAGATCAAAGACCAGCATAGACTCTGTATACAGGAGCTTGCCATGCTGGAGAGTGGCATGGATCTAGAGGAGACTCAGAAATATTTCTCAAACCATGGTCTCTATGTCCAAGTTCCCTCCTGATCTGATACAGCTTGTGGCCTTTCACCCTGATGTTGGAAATTGCAGAGATGTTGCATGTCACAACACAAAACAAAGATCTCAGCGCTTTAATCACAACTTGTACCCTTCTCACCATGTTGGAACTTAAAGGAGTGATACATCTTTTTACAAACGTTAATCTAAGCATTTGTAGTTGCTGGTCCACCTGGTCACCATGGTGGAACGTGAAGTGGTATGTCATGGAGTGGAGTGGTATGTCATGGAGTGGAGTGGTATGTCATGGAGTGTAGTGGTATGTCATGGAGTGGAGAGGTATGTCATGGAGTGTAGTGGTATGTCATGGGGCAGAGCAGTATGTCATGAACAGGAGTGGTGTGTCAGGGGGGGAGAGGTATGTCATGAAGTGGAGTGGTATGTCATGGGGAGGGGAGAGGAGAGGTATGTCATGGAGTGGGGTAGAGCAGTATGTCATGAAGTTGAGTGGTATGTCATGGGGAGGGGAGAGGAGAGGTATGTCATGGAGTGGAACGGTGTTTCATGGAGAGGAGTGGTATGTCCTGAATTTGAGTTGTGTGTCATGGAGAGGAGTGGTATGTCATTGAGTGGAGTGGTATGTCATGGAGTGGAACGGTGTGTCATGAAGAGGAGTGGTATGTCATTGAGTGGAGTGGTATGTCATGGAGTGGAACGGTGTGTCATGGAGAGGAGTGGTATGTCATTGAGTGGAGTGGTATGTCATGGAGTGGAACGGTGTGTCATGGAGAGGAGTGGTATGTCATTGAGTGGAGTGGTATGTCATGGAGTGGAACGGTGTGTCATGGAGAGGAGTGGTATGTCCTGAAGTGGAGTGGTGTGTCATAGAGAGGAGCGGTATGTCATTGAGTGGAGTGGTATGTCATGGAGTGGAACGGCGTGTCATGGAGAGGAGTGGTATGTCCTGAAGTGGAGTGGTGTGTCATAGAGAGGAGCGGTATGTCATTGGGTGGCATGATTTGTCACTACACTAGTGCTGATTGCATGATTTTGCACAATTGATACCCCAAGCTCCATTGTAATGTAGATGTTGTTTCCTAGGTGTTAATTTGAAGGTAGTTGAAGCAAAGATTGCTTGTTTTGACAGTCAGGTCAAATGAATAAAGAAATCTAATTACCAGTTTATTGGGACCTACTGTGGTTAAATAACATACAGTAAATGTAATGGAATGGAGTGGTATGTCATGTTTGTTTGTTGTTCATTGTGGAGCTTAGAAACATTCAAGCTCTTATTCCATAACACACCAAACTGATTACGTATGTATATGACATGTACATATAGAAATAGTATGGGCATATCCCAGTGTCACTATCTAAAGTTGATAAGTATAGAACCAGGGAGTAGCCCCTCCAACATTCATTATCCAACAGAGCATATGTTTCTGAAGGTCACCTGTGGCAACTGGTATCCCACGTAAAGTCAGTTTCAAAATATCTTGTTACTCATATTTTTTTAAATATGACTGGGTAGTGATGGATTGTATTTGTATCCAACAAAGACAGTAATGGAAAGATGAGATACCTTTTGTGTTGGTCCCAAATGTTCTAGTTTCAGAGATCAGGTCTCTGAGAGTTTCATTAGAATGTTAACTTATTGATTTTATGGTGCTTGAATAGTAAAGAGTGCTTATTGCTTGTAGCTCATGTTATATATGATATTTGATACAAATGTTTTCTACTTGATTTTTAGTAGATGAATACTCAGTGCAAACAGAAATATTTTGTAATGATTTTATTTGAACCCTATTTTGACATGACTATTTTATACTGAATTATAGTCATCATCATAATGTCTACCTATTCCAAATGGGTGGAGCATATTATGTTTGTTTTCATGCTCTTGATATATAAATATAGACAATTGTGGATTAGATAGTCAGTATGGCTGCTGAATATGATTAGTACATTCAGATGGTTGAGGAATAACAAGCTGTGTTACCTAGGCAACTAGCAATTACATACACCGCGATGTTGGTTTGTCTTGTTCAGGTTGTTGGCGGATGTTATACAGCTGTAACATTGGAGGTGTTCACACACACACACACATTTATTTTTTACTGGCGTTTGTCTTTTGGGCCAGCATAATTGTCCGACTTTGCTGTTCAGCCTATCTAGTATATTGTCTGTTATATGAAATACATGATTTTCAATTTAAATAAGAGTTTTAAATCGAACAGGGAATCCTACCAGTTGAGTATCAATGTAGTGATTGTATATGTTACAACATCAGCAAATTAACAGCTGCATAGTTTTCCCAAAGTAAAAATATATAACCAATGAAATTGTCTAACTAATGCTTTCCTAACATTTGATTGGATAGAAATACAAAAGTATTTTAACTTAACAGAAATCATTGGTCCATTGGTAGCTTTGGCAATAAGATCTGATTTTAATGAGATCAATCAGAAATTGGTTTCTTCCTTTACAATTATTCCAAGGTCAAGTTATTAACAAGATATTTGGGCATGAGCAATTATATCAACAATAATCAATAAATTGATTTTCTATACTTGAAACTTATTTTCGAGGAGCATACATAATTTTCTTAATGTACTTTCATGCCAACTGAAACAAAATCAGCAAGTAGGTTATTGAAACAAAAGTCAATGCAATTAATTCTGAATCCAAATAAGAAATAGAAAAATACAAGTGCACAACAAAATTACTTCACAAAGTGCATTCACACATGTAACAAACACACTGCTATATCACGTCATGAAAAATAGGAAAGAATATTAGTTATTTAAATTTGTGTTGCTACACTGAAGTACTTCAGAAAGAAATAGGAAATCTTGAGGCTGATGAAGATGTATAACCTACAGCTGAGAGTAGCATGGATTCTTTATTAACTGCTTTAGCTTGTACAGTTCTTGCCACTGCCAAAGATGCAGAAAACCAGTCTAGTCATGAGACATATAGTACCATAGTTGCATTACTGGTAGACTAGTTATCACTTAGGAATTGTTTGGTTGAATATTGGACACCAAATATGTTCTTGATACCCACTTAGATCAGGCCATAATAAATTAATTATTCAATATATTTTTCTCAAGTACTTATGAACATAATAACATTTGCAGTGTGTGTACTGATTAACTACACTGTATATATGTAGTCCTACCAACATGCCTGCTTCATGTGAATCCCATCAGTTAGCACTTGATATATGCAGATGCATTGAATAGTTGGTCTTTAAAAAATAACATACAAAAATTAAAAGGCCTCCTGGCTTATATTTTTCAAGATTGGGATGAAAATCGAATAATTTATTCATTGTGACGTTATCATAAACCGCCTGTAGTCCCTGAATCCATGTTTTTTACCTTATTATGTTTTACACAAGTTAGATATTATAAAAGGGAATCAGTTTAACTTTCTATTGTTATACATCATCCTTGATGAATAAACATTGTGAAAAATGATTTTGTTTTGTATTTTATGACATTGAGTTGAAGCCACCACAAATTAATGTCGATGAGGGAAGAAAGCCCCAGGTGATGCAGGCCTGGTGAACCCCAGAGTATGGGTATGGTGCTGACAAACTTAAAAACATAATTCAGGATAATAACCCATGATCATAGGTTTATACCATGCAAAAGGGACAAAACTCTGCACAGCAAATTGCCGCGCTTTAGGCAAGTGGACCACCTGTGCCCCATCGCCTGGGGTTTGTCAGTTATTCGAAGAGGGACCTAGATTAAAAATTGAGACCTTGTCTTTCAAAGTATGACAGCATGGTCACCTAAACAAGTACAGTAAACTATGGTTATAACAACCTGAGAGAGATCATTAAGTTTAGTTCGTTTTAACCATAGTTTGTTATAAGCATACTGACTTGGATCAAGTCACGTGACCACATCACGTTACTCAATAACAACAGTGTGCACTGTATGTACTATGTTTATTTATCTCATACAGGACACAAAATACATAATAGAAGTAAATACATGGGCGCGTTGTTTTCAGCGTGTTTTACTTTTTAGATGTCGTCTTCTGTGGGTCGTGATGAAGATCGGCTACCAAATAATCTTCCTGGGTCACATGTTGTGTAGGTAAACTTTTACCTATGTATGTAGTGAGCCTGTGGTTGACATGTAGGATAACCTATCAAAGACTAGATGCTATGACACATGCCACAACATATTTGATTTATCCAAAATTAAAACCTTCATACTTCATTGTAAGCAAGATGTAATAACTGGCCTCTATACATTTGAACGTAATAGAGTGGTAGTTTCTGAGATGAGGTTGATGCAAAGGCTATAATTTTGATTAAATGAGCTGATTTTCTCAATTTTCAATATCGAGAATACTTTCCATTGTTGTCATTGAAATGTGTAGCCCATGCATGGAGTCATCCCACAGAGTGACAGACGACATCCTTACCATGTCAGTGTAGCAGGGCATGGAGTCATCCCACAGACGACATCCTTACCTTGTCAGTGTAGCAGGGCATGGAGTCATCCCACAGACGACATCCTTACCTTGTCAGTGTAGCAGGGCATGGAGTCATCCCACAGACGACATCCTTACCTTGTCAGTGTAGCAGGGCATGGAGTCATCCCACAGACGACATCCTTACCTTGTCAGTGTAGCAGGGCATGGAGTCATCCCACAGACGACATCCTTACCTTGTCAGTATAGCAGGGCATGGAGTCATCCCACAGATGACATCCTTACCATGTCAGCTTGCTGACGGGGTTAACCTCTTTGGTCATGTGGACAAGGCGTCCGGCCTCGGATTAGAAGGTCCATGGTTCGAATCCCATCAAAGTTTTATGGCTGCTACACATGTAAAACATTATGTGAAAATGATATTGATATGTTCAATAAATTAGGACAAGGGATATTAAGTTTCAGTGCTAATATAAGCTCACACTGGCAAAGTCATAGGGAGAAAACACACTTTTCAGAAAATCAAAAAGACATGTGTAAGGAATTTCAGAAGAATGTTGTATGGTCAGAGCTTACCTTTGGTTAACTGTTTATAGTATAAACAAAGAATGTCAATCAAGACTACCTAATAGCGGGTTTCAAGGTACCCTTATGTTAATTTCATACAGGTGAGTACTGGGAATAAAGATTCCAAAGATAACTGCTACTGTCATAACTTGGTATGATATAATATGCCAAATGGAAAATACACATTATTTCTGTACAAAGTCTTATGGGTTATGGAGTTTTCCCTTGTAAAATATTTATGAGAACATCAATGTCAATATTGCCCCCTGAAATAATGCATACAATATTTCCCTCCCCTGCCCGCCCTGTCAGAGCAGCCGCCACTGCTGCAGCCCCCGCCCCTTCAGCAATCACGTGATTCCTCTCAGCCAATAGTCTCACAGCATTAGCAATGTCTTCAAGGGAGACAACTATAGAACCGTCAAGTACTTTGCTGACCAACGGCCACATTTCATCCAGAACTGATTTGGATCCCATTCCGTCCACAAAAGTAGGAGTGTAAGAACATGGTACAGGTTTTCCTGCCGCAAGGGCAGCGGACAATGGCGCCGCTGTGTCAACTTCGACTGCATACACTTTGGTCTGAGGACGTATTGCTTTCACAGTCAGGGCTATTCCACTTGACAACCCACCACCCCCATAAGGGACAATAATGGAATCAACTTCTTGAAGGTCTTCCAAAATTTCCAAACCAATGGTGCCATTGCCTGAAACATTTCGTAAACATCAGTGAGTGAGTGAGTGAGTAAATTGTTTTATCCGTTTTTAGTAATATTCTAACAATACCATGGCGGGGAACACCAGAAATGGGCTTCACTCATTGGGGAATCAAACCGGCCAACGCTTTAACCAGTAGGCTACTTCACCGCCCCCATTCGTATCAAGAGTAGTACATGTCAGTTTACACAGGAGATGACATGGGGCATTGCATGTACAGACTCCCTGGTTTACACATCGCATTTCAAAAACGTATGTCCGAGCATGTACAGGAGATATGAAATCAGAACCCGTCACACCCGTGTATATCACGTACATGCTTAAAGATGTGTCCCAATAAATAAAACCAAGGGCATGGACACCTGTGCGTTTGTTTGCGGTTCTATAATGTGAAATGGTCAGCGTAAATGGTTTGGTTTGTTGTTTTACGCCGCACTCAGCAATATTCCAGCTATATGACGGCGGTCTGTAAATAATCGAGTCTGGACCAGACAATCAAGTGATTTACATCATGAACATCGATCCACGCAATTGGGATACGATGACATGCATCAACCAAGTCAGCGAGCCTGTCCACCCGATCTCGTTAGTCCCCTCGTACGACAAGCATAGTCTCCTTTTATGACAAGCATTGGTTGCTAAAGACCTATTCTATCCCGGATCTTCAAGGGTATCAGCGTAAATGGAAAATATAAGAAAAGGCACAAATAATGAATACACATACAGGCAAACATGAGTGAAAAACTGCTGGAAATTAAATAATGGAAGTAAGTAAATTTACACAGACCTCTCTGGAGAATAACGTTTATAATTAGTTATTGTGATGTCAAATAGGTATTTAACAATAAACTGAATTAACCTTTACAAATAATTCCATCTGATATTTATAATATAAATAATACCCACCAGCGATGACCGCCCTGTCACATACTGGGTGTATAAAGGTCCCAGAGGCATCTTCATAGTGATGTTCCATGATCACCTGCCACCACCTGTCGTACGCTACCCGAGTCACCTTGCCTCCAAGTCTTTCTGTTGGTTCCAGTTTGGCTCTAGGGGCGTGTTCGGGAACAATGATTTCACAAGGAACTCCGAGCCTTTGCGCGTTCCATGCCAGTCCTTGGGAGAAGTTTCCGGCACTGGCAGTGTAGACTCCACTCTGAAGCTTGGCTTTGGGCAACAGTTCTACAGCATTGCAGGCACCGCGTATCTTGAAGGATCCTATCGGATGAAGATTCTCTAGTTTCAGGAAGATCTGTAAATAATAGTATAATAATTCTTATATTTCATCCCTAAAACGTCAAACTAATACACACAACCGATTCAGTTCACGAATATATAGTATTGTATACATGTGTATTACAATTTAACTTATGCCAGCTGCGTGTATCACGTTTTTCAGAATCCGGTGTAAGATTTCATCTTTTATCAAGATTTGGTTATAGGTAATTTCATAAGGATATGGTTAAATAATACCAAAACCATGTACACTTATTTATGCATGCCATATGCAGTTTGTTTTATTTGTTTTGTGGTGAGGAGTAAATCTGATCCGATCTTTGACCAATATATAGCAGTAAACACCCAGACGCGATACCAAATAAAACATGACGACAAAGTCATTGACAGTCCCATTCGTTTAAGCATGTTCATAAAATAACCAATAACACATGTCATATATCTCATTATACAAACAAAGGTTAATCCTAAAGCTAGTGAGAACATCTGACATTTTGATTGATGACTAAAACCAAACGATTCTCTCTATTCATTGAATCTTTTCAATATGTGAATGAGGAGTGACACTGTTTCAAATTTCAAATTTTCTAAATACTAATAACATTTTAAACAATTCCTGAATGCATGGATTATATGATGATGTGCTTGTCTTTCACTAAATACTACAATATGAGCAACCTTTCACTCTATCAGGGTACATGTCACACACTCCACCAAGTCGCCAAGCCTGACTACCCGATCCATTTAGTCGCCTCTCAAAATAAGCATAGGTTACTTGAAACCTATATAAACACGGAATTCCAACAGGGTTGTATGATATTCGATCTGCTTACAAAGTGGCATAAAAAATATGAATAGTTTATGAATTATGTATGCTCCATAGAATGAAGCCCTTATTTGAACCGAAAGCCCAACCTGCTATTAGATCTATTCCTTAGAAATACAAACTCTAAAAGTTTAACAAAACACATTACTCGCAAAAGGCACAACTTCAGCACTTTCTTGATGCATACCAAATGTCACAAAGTTAGAGTTATGCTCCGGAAGTGATCGTGCTTCGTCTCATTTGAAATCCAGCTTCTTGCCATTGAAACGCAAAAATGATGTTTTTTCCAAAGTTCAAACAAGTATTTGTCACAGAGTGACGAAATATCCCCCGCCTGTACACCATAGTACCAAATATGAAGACAATCCAGCGATTAGTTCTTGAGATATTGTGGCAACACCGTTTTCCAACTCCAAAAACAGATTTGCCTGCTGTGACCTTGAAAATGGGGTCAAGGTCACCAAATCTGACAGGTGTATGCGGTGTCTGTATATACACTATAGTTCCAAATATGAAGACAATCCAGCGATTAGTTCTTGAGATATCGCGGCAACACCGTTTTCTAACTCCAAAAGCAGATTTGCCTGCTGTGACCTTGACAATGGGATCAAGGTCACCAAAACCGACTGGTGTCTGCGGAGTCTGTATATACACCATAGTTCCAAATATGAAGACAATCCAGTGTTTAGTTCTTGAGATATCGCGGCAACACCGTTTTCCAACTCCAAAAGCAGATTTGTCTGCTGTGACCTTAAAAATCGGATCAAGGTCACCAAAACCGACTGGTGTCTGCGGAGTCTGTATATACACCATAGTTCCAAATATGAAGACAATCCAGTGTTTAGTTCTTGAGATATCGCGGCAACACCGTTTTCCAACTCTAAAAGCAGATTTGTCTGCTGTGACCTTGAAAATGGGATCAAGGTCACCAAAACCGACTGGTGTCTGCGGAGTCTGTATATACACCATAGCTCCAAATATGAAGACAATCCAGTGTTTAGTTCTTGAGATATCGCGGCAACACCGTTTTCCAAATCCAAAAGCAGATATGCCTGCTGTGACCTTGAAAATGGGGTCAAGGTCACCAAAACTGACTGGTGTCTGCGGAGTCTGTATATACACCATAGTTCCAAATATGAAGACAATCCAGTGTTTAGTTCTTGAGATATCGCGGCAACAAACAGGTGGGACGTACGGACGGACGTACGGACGTACAGACGTACGGACGTACGGACGGACGGTCGTGAATACTATATCCCCCGCTTCGCGCGGCGGGGGATAAAAAAGCAAAAGGCATCAGTTCTGTGCATGCCTGATGTATATACAAAGTTTCATGAAGAAATATTTAACGGTTCGTGAGTTTTGCTCCGGAAACGAAACGTGACGGACGGTTCCCGTTTCTATATCCCCCACAAAACCTCCTGTGATAATGCACGTCAAGCGGGAGGTTCCGCATGCACGTAGAACAACTCTGAAATAGCATAGCTGGTGCAGTATTGCGGGGACAAACAGTACAAATCATCTCCAACACGAGATTCCGGGGTAGAATAGGTCTTCAGCAACCCATGCTTGCCGTAAAAGTCGACTATATGCTTGTCGTAAAAGGCGACTAACGGGATCGGGTGGTCAGGCTCGCTGACTTGGTTGATGCATGTCATCGATCCCAATTGCATTTATCGATACTCATGATATTAATCACAGGATTGTCTGGTCCAGACTCGATTACTTACAGAGCGCCGTCATATAGCTGGAATATTGCTGAATGCGGCGTTAAACAACAAACCAACAACCAACCATTCTCCAACACGGATATATATTTACAAATATAGCTAAATGTATTTGTACACATATGTTCTCGCAAGAAGGCGAATCGCGGTTCGCTTTGAAGTGTATTGTTTATATAAGGGGTTATGAAGCCGTGTGAAAAAGTGACCTCCGCCCAACTGACATGATAGTACTATGATTACTGAACTTCGTTCACCTTAACCTTTATGTACATATAACTTGTGAAAGATATGTGCATCGCATTCGATATGGCAAACACACAGCTACACTACAAATTTCTCCCCACGTCCAGACATTTGTGTCTTGGAGGTTGTATGAATAAAATCGGCAAGAGAAAGGCAGAAGAGGTGCTAGTTTAAACCAAGTGCACCTCTGCGTTGCAATCTTCATTGTAACATATAATGTATGGGTTGAATAAAAAACGGGAATGAAATATAACCTGGAAAACATATTTTCTGCCGTTGTCTACTTTTAATACGACCCTACCCAAACGCAAGGCTTAACTTGCGAACACACTTGCACCTCTCATTGTTTAAGTCAGTTGGACAGGGGAGAAATTGCCGGACAGCGACTTCCACCAGTGTACGATGTTGTTACTTGCACCCGATAAAAAGCCGCCTTCGTGTGAATGCACCGCACATGTGAATATTCATGAAAACTATCAATGATTTCAGCTCGGGGACCGCGACTCACCTTTGTCTGTGAGTCTGTTTCGCCATTGTTCAAAGGGACAAGGGGAGTCTTTCTTATGCTGGTTCGTAGTCTGGATCTCGCCTCCTCCACCTCTTGCAGACACACCGTGTCGAGCGACATAACAGCAGGTCCGTTTGTCACAGTGGGATGTTGCGGCGCTCTTGTGACAATGAAAAGTGCTGACAGATCTACCTATCTATCTATCTATCTATCTATACATGGGCGGATACAGAGGGAGGGTGCGGGAGTGCGCACCCCCCCCCCCCCCCCCCCCCCCCCCCACACCCCTTTTAAAAAAAGCTGTATCCGCCCATGTATATATATAGATATATATATATATATATGCAGTCATACTACACTCGGTCTGACCTCTTGAACTTTGGCCTTGAAAAAACTGTATAATAATATATTCAATTTTCCTTCAAGATTAACAACTTCAAGGTCATGGGTCGATCGCGTAGACCCCTGATACTACTTTTCATATACATGCACATATACATTGCATTTGTATTAAGTGAATAATCCGAATATCTGGTGCAAACTAGTTTGAACATCAGTAATCCGATATAGGTGCAGATAGCGTCAATGCACTGTAGCCAATCTGGCAAATGTACACGCGGAGCGACGTAATTATTCGAATAAAAAAGACAAGGGACTTGCGCAACCTCTGGCAGTTCTATTAATTAACAAGTCACTTGCTAATTAAATATAAACCATCAACACCAGAGAATAACCTGTCTCGATTACCTGCCGAAACATATTCCATCGGGTGTGAAAGGCTAAATAGTGGTGAAAATTATACGAATGGATCGCTAAAAATTCGAGATGGCACTAGGTGTTAACGAAATGGGTATATCCCCTGCTCTACCGTTAGCACCCGCCACACAATCTGCATAAAGTTACACGCAATGAAACTTTAAATGGGTCTTTGAAAATGAATGCAAACGGGTAATGTAATCTTCGACAAAATACTAATAAAGTAAAAATGAGGGTTTTTTATAGTACAGGGATCAAATAAATATTTGACCATTCTAGATACAAAATGTTTCGGTTTTTGTGAAAAGATAAAAACGATAAAACTTAATAAACTTTTGTTTGTTGTTTAACGCCACACTCAGCAATAATAGAGAAAGAGAAAACTTCACAAATGAATGTTAGGTGTCAAATTGTACACGGACATTTTTCTGTGTTTTTTAATACATATATATATTTTGTCATATAACGAAAGGAACGCGACATGAATTAAAAACAGACATACGCTAGCTTAATACACTTATACTATGATTACTTTTGCACGTATTGTACTGTATTTACTGTTATCGCAGCAGAACACATGGTCTACTCTAGTGTGCTAGACTAAACTAAGGCACCATAACCCCATCGTGTGTATGCCTTACTCATACACATTTTAGATTTTCAGAATTTTGTCACGTCACCAACAGCCAGAGGAGCCGTCGTTTGGCGAAACGTTCAGAAATAAGACCTCAAAATTGGAAACACTCAAATAAGACAATCATTCACATGGTAATGGATCAATACAATGTTATCATGTAACAGGAATGACATGAAACATGGGAAATCGCACTACTCAAATTGTCATTTTACCGTTTCTGCAAATGCGTTCTGTGCGTTTGGCGATATCGCGGAACAAACGTTCTTGGTACAAGGAAAAACAATCGCCCAACAACGGCCAAGGTCAAGTTTGTATGAACACTTTTCCAGCAGGGATGACAACTTTGTGATCCTGTTGTCGTTTCCGGAATGAAAGATCAGCTGCTTGGCCCTGATGCTATGTTCAGTCTAACAAAGTGCTTGTCTGGGGCACGTAAACTGTGGGGTTTTTGATCCATCACATGTCTGCCAATACGCTTGCGCATTGAAATAAACAAACCAGACATTATGTTAAGCTCCCTGCACTGATATCTCGTCGACGACTTTGAGTGAACCGTAGCACGTGTTGGGGTAGAGCTTTTCATTTTCAATCACCGCCGTGTTGCGGGCAAGAGAAGTTCGAAGTGCTATTCTGCAATCGAGGTATTTATTTTCCTAAGTTGACAGTTTTAAACACATTGACTAGAAGGCACGGTGAATCAGCCTCAAACCAAGGTGTTGCATCCCTAAGGTAGCTAAGCCTCCGTAGGTTCACTTGTCCTGGGTTCGAACCCCAGGTTCACTCAGGGTTTTGTGATCGAGAGATCTATTATCATTCATCAAGGATTCCCTGTTGTTGTCCAAAGTGTTAAATGCTAATAACCAGTGTCCCCAGTCAGGATTGGTATTTTTACAATTAAGTCTAAGGAAGAGGCTAAATGTGCTTTTTTACCTTTCACAATTTAGACCTACTTTTAAAAAAGCCAGTTTGCACTTTTGTTTGATCATGGAACATAGACTCGTTTATTCCCAAGTTTACAAATGCCATAGCCTTGTTTTTTTTGTTAATGTTAATGTCCAAGGAACAATAACTCATTACAAGAATTGGAACATTTAAATAAGTCAAACAAAATTAAATGTTAACAAATTAGAACTTAACTGTTTGTAGGTAATGGTTTATAATGTTTATGGGGACACTTTGTCAAAACTTTCTTATTTTAATCCCACTTGGGGTTGCATGTTTAAAATTCTCAGGTTATGTTCCCAGCAACCAATACTTGTCTTTTGACTTGATTGGATTGGATTGGTTGGTCATGATCGTTGATTTGGTTGTGTTGATGGCATGTCCACATACTTAAACAACAATGATCATTGTTCTTTATTTCAATTGCGAGATTGTCTGGTCCAGACTCAATTATTTACAGGCCACTGTCATATTACTCAAATAGTGTTTTTATGAAAGAACCCATAAATATGTTTAGCTCATTCTCATCTGAGTTGTCCCGAATTAAGATTATTAATAAGGATATTGTGGAAAAAAGGACAGTGGAACACACAATACCTATAGGTAACAGTTATTGTCAGATGTTTGTACATGTCTGTGAGGATAAAGTTTATCTCTTGCATTTCAGCACAACAGCTTACAACCAGTGAAATGTACCTTGCTCCACTGAGATATTTGTGTGGAGGTTCAAAACCCTACATCAGGTTTGTCCAGAATAGGTCCATCACAAGAAACAATTTTCTAAACAAGACCTGGACACTTAATTCTTGTATACCATGTATATACAGTGCTCACAACAGATTAACGAGGACAGTGTCAACTGAGGCAAAACCAGTAGAAGGACATGCAAGTGCTGCCTCCTTCACTACAGTGTATAGGTTCAACTATATCGTCCACCTCAAAGTGCTAGCTCGGCTGAAGATATACCAGACAGTGTTTACATTAGTGGCAGTACCACAGGCGTTCTATCTTCACAGCAGCGGAGACCTGTCAACACAAATGTTGTATGCCAGTGCTGGCTTAGCAAGTCTGGCATGCATTATGTTGTATGTCATGAGTTTTAGTATTCGAAAAGTTGTCGGGATACTAGCTATGAGTGATGATAATATGAATGTGAAGATATCTCACCTGAGCTTCTGGGGAAAGCGGAAGGATATTCTGTGTGATGTGTCTGATATAGTTCCATTAGCGGATATGTCAGAAAGTCCGACTCATGTATATGTAAAACTCAAGAGATACTCGACCAATACTGACCTGAATCTGTTTGTCCGTCATGGTCGTATAACAGACATTAGCAAGTTACAGAATATTCTAGGATCTTTGAAATAAAAGTTTTTGTAGCTTCCTGTGGGATTGAGTGAATGTTCGTTAGACAAACATTAAAACAATAATACAATTCACTTAGCACTTATACTCCAGTATATCATGTATATACTTAATCCTGTATTAATGTGTATACTCACCTCCAAAAGAAACAAACCATAGCTAGTACTGTAGTGAGTGAGTTGGGTTTAATGCCACTTTTAACATTATTCAAGTTATATCACAGCATGTCAGCTTAATGTGGGAATAAAGCCTGAAGTCATGCAGGTCTTAGACGTTTACCTCTTTGATGAAACCCACGAGTACGGGTATGGTGCTGACAGACCTAGAAACATAATCGGGGCGAAGCACGATTCGAACCCACAATCATAGGTTTCTGGTGATTAGGGTTATAGTTAAACTGAAAAGCATTACTAGCCTGGGTGAAGATAAAATTCCCTTGTAATGTTAAAACAATGGGGAATTTGGAAATTTGTACTAGCCAGCTGGAACTTGTTTGTTGCCAACACCCCAGTCAGCAATATTATAGCTGTCAGCCTATAAGTAATTAAGTGTGGACTAGACAATCCAGTGTTTGATGTTATGAGCAATGATCCACACTATCATAGTACCATGGCACCCATTCAACCAAATAATAATGTCTCAATGTCTTTTGTCGCCTCATACCACAAGCATAGGTTTCTGGGGACCAATTCTGACCCAAAGTCCCACAGCACCATTTGATTATAGGGAAGGTTCCCTTAAGCTATTTTCATACTAATTATATGCAATATGTTTAATACTTCATCAGAATAGATGAATATCAGATTGTAAATATAGTGAGTGAGGATTTGATTAGCGGAATTGGTGCTGCCATCCATCTTTCCAATTGTTACCTTGTTTCCAGATCATAACTCACACTCCAATATTTCTTGATCAAACTTTGTACAGATACCAGTCCAGATCACATTCCAGCTACTGCTGCACTTAGTTTTATGTTCTTGGAATTCTTTATCTTTTATCAAATAATGAAATGTGTGTCCAGTGACAACCAAGCTCCTGATGAGCCTCTCATAGAAACATCATCCTGTTGAGCTGCTAATGGTACCAGTCAGCTATCAGCATATTAATCAGGTTTTGATTGTCATTGACTCTTTAGAACAAGGCAAAGGGGGGCTTCTGAGGTCAGGGGCTTGAGTCTTGAGCTCAACAGAACATGCCATTGTCATGGGGTATGAGTATTTCGTGCTTGTTGTATTGGCACACATCAGAATAGAACATAACTTCCATAGATATAACACAAAACCTTGAAAAAGTCACAATCAAGGATCTTCAAAATATTTAATTGTATGGGATAATGTCATTCAAAAGGCCAAACGTTCAAACAGGTCCTAAATATTGGTTTTGAATTCCCTTTGGAATAGATATTTTTAAGATTCATTAATGCTGTAAAAGTTCCACTAGTTTTAGGCCAGATCCATTTGGTACATAGTGAACAATCTCTTGATGAAGATTGATGGTGTATGTTGGGTGCAGAACTGTATCCAGTTTGTTCCTGGGTGAGTGAGTTTGGTTTTATACATCTTCCAGAGGCAAAGTGTCCAGTAGCCTGTGTCATGTATATCAAGGTCTAGTTTTAACAAGACTTTAATATAGGCTGGTGGACACTGCCTAGGAAAGATGTTTTTCATAGTTTTGAGTCTCATTCTAGACATATTTTATGGTACACTAAAAATCATCTTCCCGAGGCAAGGGAGTTAAGTGGATGCAAGGGAGTTAAGTGACCATGAAAGTTCAGTTTTCACCGTTGCCGAACTAGACTGGACTTATAGAGTTACGTTTTTGCTCGACTAAAGGGTCTATGCATAGTCCAATCAAAGTCGCGCAACGAATTTGACATCCTGTTAATAAACAACATGGCGACTGCATTGCAGATTTTCGACAGCTGGATTTGCAGAACATGTGTACGTCAAGTGGGCGTTGACAGATGTTTTCCAAATCTTTTCATGTATTTGGTTGGTTGGTTGGTTTGTTGTTTTACGTCGCACTCAGCAAAATTCCAGCTATATGATGGCGGTCTGTAAATAATCCAGTCTGGACAAGACAATGCAGTTATTGATATCATGACCATCGATCCACACAATTGATACAATGACATGCTTCAACTAAGTCAGTGAGCCTGACCACCCGATCCCGTCAGTCACCTCTTACAACAAGCATAGTCGCCTTTTACGGCAAGCATGGGTTGCTGAAGACCTATTCTACCCCAGATCTTCACTGGTCTTTTCATGTATTTAACCAAGATGCTCGAGTGATTTGATGTACTTCGTGAGGTTACACCCATTTTATTACTATACAGATCTTGATTATTATTGGTCAGATCGTCTTGATCTGGCACCGCCATTTTGTTTGAAGCAACTGCAATTGATATAAGAGGAATCTGATTTGTCAGTAGGAGGGACAAGCTCCTACCCACCGCTAACACCTTCGTTACACTCTCGGTAACATTGCTGCCACCAGTGTGGGCGCAACCATTCCAAGAATCTTGAAATACACCCTCTAAACCCCAAATGTAGTAACGTTTATACTTTTGTTTATGCCTTTGGGAATGCCATCACAGTTAGTTATGAAAAGGTTTACAATTGACGGTATTTCCGCGAAGAATTTACCCTCTTGTTTGTGTGATCAGGTTATTTCGCAGACGAACGGAAAATAAACCAACTTCCCCCTTACATTCTTACTCACAGGCCTGTGATTCTTACTATACCAATTACATGATAGAAACTAATTTAGAAGGGGTATTCTTGCAATGGCAGCACCCACGCTGGTGGCAGCGATGTTATCGAGGGTCAGAGACCATATACGTGTACGGTCTCTGCGAGAGACGAAGGTGTCACGCGCTGGGAAGGAGCTTGGCTAGGAGCGGCAGCAGGGACATAACTCGTAATCGACACAGCTATGATGACTAAAACTGGACTTTGTACCCATGTGGTCATGTTAAAAGCTGGCAAAAAAGTGACAATTATTTTGTTTTATCTATTTTTATTCACAAGCCCCTGTTACAAAATGCTGATCCATGCCCAGGGTAAAACATGAACCTCCATTACCTAATTATTTGAAAAAATAGTTTCAAACAATGGTCTTGTAATATTTTATGAAATAAAAGGACATGCACATGGCATCCATACACAATTCACACAGAAAAATGTATACAAGTTTGTACCAGGTCAGGT